CGAAACCAAACTGGAGAAAATACAAGAAAAAATGGGCTATATTCTAAACTCCGGTTCGATACCCATCCATGATATCTGTTTTTTTTTTTTTTTTTCTTCTTCCATTATTCGATACGATTCATTCGGGTCCAAACATATTCTTGAGCAATGGTAGTGAGGGCTAATCTCAAAACCTTGGCCAATTTCTCCTCCACCCATTCGTTTTCTTCGTAAGGAATGTCCAACCATTTTTTAGGGATACTTTGAGAGAGACCGTGGAATTCCAATTGATGTTTCGGGTCACTCAACATTAGCGTAAGGGTCATGTGTTCATTTTGATCGGTCATAAGGTCAAGATTACTGGCTTGGATGGAGAGATACACTGGACAAATTTTGATTTCACTCTGTCCTTCTGATGGGTTGGTGGTGTCTGTAGTAGAGGTGGGTGCCGGGTGTCTTTCTACCAGCTTTAGGATGTCCTCCTACAATTAAAACAGGGGATCAGTGAGAATTCCAAAGCAAACACAAAACCGGGTTATACCTTTGCCGACTGCTTCATTCTCCCCCCAACACCCGCACAAATAAAGAACTTTTGAGTTTTCTTTTAAATTGAAACATACTTTAGCAGCCTCTTTAGCTTTTGCCAAGCTTTCGTGAAGCGTTATTGTGAAAGCGCCGCCATCGGTATCGTTTTTACCCTCATTTTGGTCGGTCTGAACGACGACATCTCCGGTGGCCGTCTGTTCCAGTACAGATGACCAAGCTCGATAAGTGATTTGTTCCAAACCTAGATAGCCAAGCTGGCTCTTGCTTAGCCAGATTTCCACAATTTCCTCGTCCGAAAGTGGGGGAGCAACAGTATCAAGCAATGTATTAACTCCATTCAACGTAAGAGTTCGGAGCTCGCTACCTATAACCAGTGGTTAGAAAAAAAAAAGTTTGGCGGGTTGTTAAACAATCAAATCTTTGAAAATGGACATGACCCGACTTGATAGAGGAACGACAGTTTTTACCTATTTTACCAATGTTTTCCTTATTCACGAAGGATTGAATATCCTTCACACGACCTTCCAATAGCTTGGCCGTTTCAGAGTCCTGTGTAACTTTGTTGATTTGATCCGTACCTGCTTTGACGGCAGCACTGGCCTGTGACCAAAGGGAGCTTCCCCAAGAAGCCCATCCGCCATTGTTATCTTGAGGTATATCTCTTTGTAGGTTGTTTCCTGTCACTTGTGGTTGACTTGGTTCTTCCTTGCTTGACACGCCTTCAGTTGGTTCAGATGTCCATTCGTCGATAAACGACATGATCTCCTTGGCATCGGCAGGCTTTTGGGAATCAGCTCCAGTATCCGGATGGTCGTTTGCAGACGATAGACCGACATCGGCGTCTATTGAATCCAGAAACTGCTGTGCGGCTGTGAGTGACGAGTTGGTTTCTTCAGTGGGTGGTTGCGACATGGCCAAACAGTAGAATCAATAAGCTGCGTATCTGCGGACTTCCAAACAGTTGGAGCTTACCAGCTCCTTGAGTTTTTTTTTTTTTTTTTTTGGGCATGTCACACACATTTATGCTACTATTCGCGTTTAAGTTGCTATTGTCAATGAAACATCACACCATGAGCACAATAATTTAGTATAGCTCGAACGGATAATTCATTAGCTTTAGTCTACTCAAAAGATATCCTGTTGTGCCGGCGCTATCGTCGTCACCTTCTTTATCTTTTCAAATCCGGCGAACGCGGCAACCAGATTAGGACGTGTTGCACTGTTAACGGTAACAACTCATAAGAGAAACCAATAGAGGGACCATTACAACGTTTACCTTCGACATGGCATCATTCTCTATTCACTTCTCAAGCATTATGACATCAACATTCATTCTCCTCTACACCATTCCTTTTCAGCTTCGGCTCAATCCTCAGCAGCGAGCTAATAAGCGGCATCGTAGCCTAAAGTAGCAGCTTACTAGATGTACATTTCCTACTCAGTCTCGTTGTCCTCTGCCAGGCACACATCAACCGATTTTGCGTAAAGTATCCATGCGATAGGCTTTATTAACAGTAGTAGTCTTTCTATCAGCTTCACAGACCTCTTATATGTAGCGCGCTTTATTTTGCCTTTGGAGTGATATCTTGTTCTAAGGATGTGTGTCAGCGATCAACTTCGTATCTTCAAAACCACTGACTGCACTTACCCAAGCCCCAAACATGCGTTTTCAGTTCCAAATGCTCGATGTTGAGTGCGTCCTATGCACATTAAATGCACAAGTTAACACATGCAGCTCCTACTTTTCATGGAATCCCAGTGGCTGCTCCAACTTACATAAAGCTTCTTCAATTCGACTCGTAAATCCTGAAGTTGCTGTGTCGTTGCGGTTGTTTCCTTCAATTTAGATAGATCCCGATCGATTGATTCAATTCGTCGTGCATAATCTCGCACCTATTGACATCCATTACTATGATACTCGCTAATGCACTGGTAGCTAACCGTTTATTGAGACACTTTACCTTTTCGGTAGACGCTTGCAAATCCTGTACTGAGCTCAACAAAGTCGCTGAAGCGGTGTTATACTCTTCCAAAAGGTAATAGTATCCCACACCTCCTGATATAGTGACACCGAGCAGAAATCCCAACAGACTATACGCGACGTCAGTACGGGAAGAAAAACCTGGGAATGAATGAATGAATGCGAAGCTATATGCTTACCCCCCTCGCACAGCACCGACAGCCTTTGGCGCTTCCGTAGAGTACCCACGGCTTAAAGATAGAGGCCTGCACACCTTGCTCGCCGAGCCAATACGGGTGGTCTGTCTCAATAAAGTGTTCATGGTTTGAATGCTTCTGACCGTACTTTCACGGCTGAGCACATAAGAGACACGACTCAGCTTAGGCAGCCACGTGACATGCGGCTCAATTTTTTGTACTGATAATACGAGAGATATATTTGTTTACGCGCTAAAATTATACAAATCACTATAGGGTGAATACTGCTGTAGTTTCTTTTTTCTACGTCCAAAGAATCGAAATAGGGGAACCGGCCTCATATTTAGTTGATTCTAAAAAGGATAATAAGGTGAGATGGGTGGCCATGGATTGTTTTTTCCACGCTTACAATCGGCTTTGTGGTTATTTACCTTGCAAAACGTGGCCGTTCTAACTTTATGGATGGCATAGGATTCAATATTTCATCAGGAACAACCATAGTCTTCATAGTGGTGTAAATCTCTTTGACATGGATGCCACGATCAACTAGGTCCTTCAAGCCAAATGTATCCTCTTCCACAGACTCAACTTCACTACTTCTGGCAGGGGTATCATTTTCAATGGCGGGAGAGAGTGGCTCCTTTTTGCCACTTCCGTAGAAAAAGTAAGATGACAATGGTCTCTTGCTTGAAGGGGTTTTAGGGCTTGAGCAGTCATCCGATGAGATACTGCTATCTGAGTCGCGTCGACTCATATCCTGCTGAGACGTGCGAGAAGAAATGATCACGGACGCCCTCCCTGTGGAAAGGCTCGATCTTTGCTTGAGTGGTACAGACGACATTTGAATGGCCGCCGCTAATACGGCCGCAAGGGAATCTTCCGTGGACGATCGTTTCATGCGCTGAGAAGACGATGCTTCGGATTGTAGATCAATAATATCACTAGGATCGATTGTGCTGACTGTAGAGAGCGTAGATTCAGACCAAGCAGGCGAGTGTATTGGGGTTGATACGCCGTATGTAGAGGATCTTCTTGGGGGTCTTGCTATTATCGAAGCACTTCCAGACTCCAGCGAAGATTTCTCTCTGCGAACAGCGATAGATGACGAGCGTCTGAAAGACATTACGAAGTGCCAAAAGTAATGAAGAGAGAAAGGAAGAAGGGATTGGAGCCTATATGGGAGTTAAAAAATAATTAGGTTGGGAGGTCAGGGGACGGGAGATCAACCTGTCCAGGAGGGGATGGTGTGTGCAACCGAACATTCCCGCCTTTGGGAGAGGTAATTTGAACACAAAATTATGGAGTGGAAGAGCGCACCACTTGGAAATTTTCCGTGCGTTAGTCGTCGGCGTACCAAAAGTCTTCTCAAACTCATGGCTTGCATAGGATTGGCTGAAATATGAGACAAGTCAGCTCGCAGAAATGCCTATGCCAATGTAATTTTCAACAAAACCCTAGCAAAAGACAACACTACCTCTCTTTGCTCTGTTTCTATCCATTGTTTTAGCCAACTTTTCATCAATTGATAACAGGTCGATCATTTATCAGGCAATGCAGTAATGAAGATCCGCAATTATATCTTGCTACTCGTTTGCTGCCTACCTTTCGTCCTTTCAAGCAAACATGACATAAACAAAATCTGCAACGGTACGTATTTATGTTTACTTTAATCTATCTATCCATATTGAGAAAGCAACGTATACTAATTGGATAATGACTCTTAGGATTCGAACTTATCACACCAGAAGGTGGTCAGCCTTCTATGGACGTCCCGCCAACAACGACATATACGATTGGAGAAAACCTCACCGTCCAATGGAAGCTTGGAAATTCGTTGGTAACCAAGTTTGTTGCGATTGAGCTGTTCTCTTTCACCGGTTTGATCGAGTACATGTGGATTGGAAAGATACCAGCAGAAGAAGGATCTAAGAACATCACTTTGAACGTACGTCCCACGGTAGCAATTCCTGGGATATACTTTTTGAGAGTATGGGGTGAATCTTCAAACGGCCCAGCATGTATAACCTATAGCAAAACGTTTAGGCTTGTTCCATATCATGTTCATGATCAAATTTTCATGAATTTACCATTGCAATAAACATAATTGCAAGCTGATGATAGTGGACTGACCAGTATATCGCATTGAGTAAAATTCAAACATCATAAAAATTTGCCCGCCACTCCTAGTTTATTAAGGAAGAGCTTCAATATTATCACCATTACAGTCATGCTCCAGCAACGAACATACTGATGAAAGTAAAAATCGTTGACCGTTTTATGTCTGGTTATGCTATTTATTATGTTGAAGGCAGGCGATCGATCATTTGAAGACATAGAGACAGTTGCTTTGTGAAGGTCATGAGATTCAACTCAGTTTGCCAAAGCAGCGGTCATTCACGTATTCACATGGGGTTACCACTCTGCACACTGGCATGCTCAACATTTGCTTCGACGTTATCCTTGCTTCACGTCATCATAAGATCTATTTGCGGAGGTCGTGTACTGCTCAGGGACAAAAGGTATATAATAATTGGTAGCTTAATTATGCATTTCATTTGCCTGTTCTCTGCTTTTCATTTTTTTCAACTGGTTGTGGGTGCTACTTTCAACTAACTTTATAAACGGGCGATCACAAACGAGCTGTATTCTAAGATGCTGGTGACTAAACGTAGTAGTGTTATCGCAATATCCACTTCAGCCATGCTGTTGTATCTATTGCTTCATATGACAATGTTATCTTACTTTCGGAACACTTTGGATTTTTCGTACTACAACAATGCTAACGTGAAAGAGTCGCATACACAGGCTAAATTCTTGCATATTACAGATCTGCACGTAAGTGAAGTGACCCAGTACGATGAAGACTATGCCAAAATATCGTTCGATTAATGTTGTTACGGTTGTAGGTGGATCCCTTTTATATGACTGGAAGCAAAATTAGTACTGCGTGCCATCAAAAAGAAAAAAAATCAAAGAGCCCTGACATAGGAGCTGGCCCTCTAGGTGACCGGGCATGTGATGCACCAGTGGGGTTGGCCATGGCCACATTGAATTGGATCAAGGACCATCATGGGGATGAAATTGATTTTGTTGTCTGGACTGGCGATAGTGCAAGGTATGTAGCCCTTAGGTGCCGCCAATACTGTTTAATGCGGCATGCTCATCGTCATTGTTCCATAGACATGACTCTGACAACAGTCTCAGACGCACTAAAGAGGAAATATATGATGTGAACAAAAACATGTCATTACTCATGTACAATACCTTTTCGCAATCACCTCTATCCTCCAAAAAATCAATACCGATCATTCCAACGTTTGGCAACAATGACATATACCCTCACAACATCCTCTACGGTGGCAACAAAGGAAAGAGAGTTTTTGAGAAATTTTTAGACATATGGAAGCCTTTCATACCTAAAGACCAATATGAGACCTTTCTTACAGGAGGTTACTTTGCTGTCGACGTGGTTCCCAACCATCTCAAAGTAATTTCGCTCAACACCATGTACTTTTACAATTCCAACGCAGCTGTTGACAGCTGTAGCAAGAAATCATCGCCTGGCCATCAACAACTAGAATGGCTACAAAAACAGCTACGTCAGACGAAGAAAGAAGGGACAAAAATTGTCATCATTGGTCATGTACCTCCCATTCCCAAAGCTTATTACAGCAGCTGTTACAGGCAATATAGCAAGCTGGCACTTAAGTACGACGGCGTCATATCTGGCCATTTGTATGGCCACCTAAACATGGATCATTTTCTAATACTGGGCGATGAAGATACAACAAAACATGGTAATCAGCATGAAGAAGCTGCCTTAGCTGACGATACTATAAGCATCAACCGCAACATCCCAAAATATCTGAAAGCTCTACGGGACTCCTATCGTTCCGTCAACTACGTCAATGATGGAAAGGTACATCATGCTGTGATTAATATATCCCCGTCGGTGATTCCAGAGATGAACCCAACCTTTCGAATTTTTCGGTATGAGGCAGATGAGAAGGCGTCTACATTTGGCGACCTGGTGGGATACACACAATGGTTTGCCAATTTAACACACTGGAATACCCACCAGCCAAAACATAACGCAAAGTTAATTCTTCAAGGAGAAAATCATGTTCTTTCTTCAAGGAAAGGTCACAAAGATGATAACAATAATGACAACGCAAATATACCTTACCTAGAGTACGAGGTCGAGTATGATACTTTGGAGGATTACAAGATGGAGGATTTATCGACCGACAGTTGGTTAAGCCTTGCACGCGACCTTGGTGGTGAAGGACATACCTCAGAAGAACTCTGGAATAATTATGCATATAGAATGTTTGTACAGTCAAAGGATGTGAAAGACCTTGCGTAGGCCATAGAACTATTGAATTCAGAAGCGCGCGGATGAAAGTGGCATTTATTTTTTATATTTTCTAAAAAATCATAATTTTTTAACCCCATAGTTGCCAGGCTACATTCTTCCCAAGGCAAATGTGAGTGAAATGTCACAATCTGAACCAGGGAGTAGCAGATTCAGGAACTGTGGTAATCCACTTTTATGTGAATGGCTCGAAGAATGGATGGAGAAAGCTCAAGGAATACAAAGCAAAGCTTACTTCGCGTACAAAAAGGTAAGTGAAAAAGAACTGCACGCGTACCATTCACAGCATGCCATGCCATCTCTCATACCATTTATAAAACACAGGCGTATGCGTCGATGCTCGTCCACCCTACACCCTTTCAACATCCTTCAGAAGCCGAGAAACTCCACGGTATCGGGAAAGGTCTTGCGCTGAAACTCGAGAAACGTATGACTGCACACTGTAAAGCAAATGGAATACCAATGCCAGAACGTGTCAAACGTAAGCAGCGCTTCTATGTATATTTGACGCGAAGCATCGACTTAACATCAATTGGCTATGTGCGTACTTTACAGCTTCGGGAAAACGCAACCATGACCAGATCAGCACTGGAACTCAAGGTGATGGCGAGGTTTCGGAAAGCTCACAAAGTCGACCCCGCCAGAAACGAAAACAGTCAACCTATGTTCCACGATTTCGTTCAGGAGCTTACGCTATTATGTTGACGCTTTATGAGAGCGAAGAAAGTGGTATAAATCGGCTGTCGAAAGAGGAAATCGTTGCTGCTGGTCAGAAATACTGCGATTCCTCCTTCGATATGGCAGAAGCTGGGAGGGGCTATACAGCTTGGGTCAGTATAAAAACACTCTTGGAAAAAGGATATGTTTGGAAACAAAGTAGTCCCCCTCGGTATTCCCTTACTGATACTGGGAAGGCTATGGCGGAACAACTTGCACGAGCTTCTGGAAAAGGATCTCAGCGGTCACAGATGGCTTCCGCCAGCGAACCGTCCACCTCAACCAATCTGCAATCCTCTCAACCGGATAGCAGACAGGAAGACGAACGTACGACGCCACTGAGAATAGAACCGGTTTTAGAAGCATCTGTCATAGGGACTCCAAGCAGACACCCCATTGCGCTTACAACAAGTTCAGCGACGCAAATTTCATCTAGGAGTATACAGCCATCTCAACAGGAACCCTACGTTATATCATCCGATGAAGATGAGACGGATTTGATCAATTCGGGAACCATCTTATTGGCTCACGATGAAAACGAAGTCATTCTGTCTGATATTACGACCAATACCAACAAGGCTGCAACGACTAGCGATGTTCCTCGGTTTGAACAGTTCTGGTACACTTATTTAGACGGCGAAGGACAACATGTATCGAAATCCCGTAACGCAGCAATCCATGTAGACGATATGAACTTCAGCATCCTGTATAAAATTAAATACCATACATCACAAGAGAGCCATTCATTCGCCTCCAACGTTAAAATGACAAATGCAATAGGCAACGGTTTCGCTTGTGGCTTTTTAAAAGAGCATGTAGCTGATTCATCATGTCCCGGTTTGGGTCCGCACGATATACCAACAACACCAAACAAGCCTATAAGCGTTCACACTTTACAAGTTTCCGCTTTGAGAGCTGATATTGAAGATGATGGTCAGCCTGGTATACAAGAACTATCAAGTGACGATCTGTGGACTTTGCAATACGAGCCAGAGGCTTACTCACAAAAGTCTGCAACAGATTATGCAGCGTCCGAATATGACGATGTTCTCGACGCCAACAACTCACAGAATCTTACTCAACAATCCCAAATCTCGAATACATCTGCTTATGCCAACAGTCAACCACTTTCACAGCTCGATCCAGGCGCAGCCACATTATCTCAGATGTCTGCACCTGAAACAACGCGAGACTTCAGTGCCATTCAATGCCGCAGTTATCCGCCCGGCTCATTTGAAGTCGTCCTTGTGCTAGATTCTCGAGAGATCAAATCCAGACGGGATCGTGATTACATGCGGGACATGCTACATCAGAGAAACGTTACTGTTGACGTTCGCTCCTTGGAATTGGGTGATGCTATATGGGTTGCGCGACAGTGCACAGATGATGGTCCGGTGGATGAGCTGTTCTTGGACATGGTGCTGGAACGCAAGCGTATGGATGACTTGGTATCAAGTATTAAGGATGGCCGCTTCAAAGAACAAAAGGTAACAAGCGACCATATGCAGGTTTTAAATTGTGTTTTCGAACTAACATGGATCAACATTAGTATCGACTGAAAAAGTCGGCAGCAAAGCAAGTGTTTTATGTCATTGAAGAATTCAATATGGATGAAGCCATTCGGTTCGGCCAACAAGCAGTGCAGACGGCATTAGCATCCACACAAGTGGTCGATGGATTTTTCGTCAAACATACCGCCTCCATTGATGAAACGATTGATTATTTAGAAAGGTTAACGAACGCATTGAAAAAGGACTACGAGGTAAGCCTGTGCTATAGAATGTGTATTCCCCAGATATGCGGTCTGACTTTGATGGCTTTTTAGGCCCAGGAAATCTTCGAAATCCCATCGTCTGCCGTTGACAAATCCGATTACATGGCGCTCAAGAAGCATTACAGAACCAATGACCCTGATGGCAATTATTTGATCACCTCCAACCTCTATGCGCAACTCAATAGCAAGTCAGGCACCCTTACATTAGAAGACATGTTTGCAAAGTTTTTGTTGAACATCAGGGGCGTTAGTTCAGAAAAGGCGTACGAGCTTAAAAAAATATATCGAACTCCACACCAGCTGATGCAAGCGTTTGATACGTGCGTCGATTGCTCAGAGGAACAGAATCTGGCCAAAGATGCTACAAAAGCCAGTTTACCTCGACGACGTTGGGGACCATCACTGAGCCGAAAGCTTTGGGACATTTGGCGATCGCAAGAATATAAGAACTAGAGCGAGACCATTGGAAAACATCACACTATATCATATCTCATCATCTTCACCTTGACTTTAAAATGTATTTAGCATACCTCTCAATTTTATAACAAACCATTACTTGAATGTACTATAAAACCAATCACCCACCATTTCTAAGCGTCAAATTATGGAAGCGTTGGTTGTTTAATGAGAGTTATGGCATGTTGTGGATAGGGAAATAAATAGGTATATCTGTACTACTGGCTGATAGAACATATAGTACGAGTGGTGGATAAATGAATATAATAAATAAAAGAATACGAGACCTGGCTGGAGTTAGGCAAGGGATAATTATCTTGGCTAGCTGCATCATGGCATAGCAAGGCATGCTGTATTTAAGCCCATTTCGGGCGATGCTGGAAGGAGGCCAACATGGCAATTCGATACCACACAACACTCATTAATGATCTGACAGATCTGACCAAGCGAAACTTCTTCGATGAAATGTCTTGTCCAATCCTCCCGAGACGTAGGACTGTAACAACTTTGCTCTTCGTCCAAATGTACCGGACATTGGTACCATGTTTGGGTCTGACTTTCGCCTTTCTGCTGCTTTTGCGACTTCGGCCATATCGAGTGCACTATTATCAATGGTGACGGCTTGCGACACGGATCTGTGTCGCATCATGGGCAGTGATATTCGTTTCGCCGAACTATGTCTTTTCAACCGTTGAAAATCCATAGCTTTTACTTCGTCTCCTTGCTCCGCTGCTTCCACAGGGGAGTATTTCAGTGGCTTTGGAGGATAATTGGTGATGATAGGGGCCTGCGTGACATTTGCAGTAGGTTGAGGCACCGCAGCAGCATGGACGGCGGCGGCTCCATGCTGTGGAATAGCTATGGTGGTGTTTTCCGATACCGTAGAAGGTAATCTAGAAGGGACGGTCGTCAATTGATAGGTTCCTTGGAGGGTTTCATCAGCAGAGGAAGGAACCACTGGAGTGACCGCTTCTTGCGCTAAGACACGGCCATGGCTATTTTTTTTGTGTTGTGAAAGTGCAGACAATCTAAACGATCGTGCGGCGTCCAGACTAAATTTGCCTCTCGTCGTTTCTTCAGGAGGAGGACTAGGAAGATCTGGTACGTTTTCATCATGGGTCCTTTGCTTCCTCAAGTTATCCATAGACTTTGCTGTCTTGAACTTTTTCAGCTTCGAGCGGAAAAAAGACGATGACTTTCTAAGCAAGTTGTAGGACTCGGCATCCTTTTCATTTAATGTCGTTGCCTGCTCCTCTGTTGCAGATTCGTTCATTCCCTTTCCGCTAGCCATAGAGGGTGCGCGAGAGGCTTCGCTAAAATTCGGCGTATCACCTCCGTTGATGAATCTTTGGAATGCCTCATCAAGGACTAGCATATGAAGATCAGTTGACTTGTAAGGCAATTTAGTCGGAGTGGCTGTCGCTTGATCGCTTGAGGGTGGTGAATCATCGTCAGGCTACAGTATAAACATTAACCATGACGTATTGCATAATAAATCACAAAGGCTCATGCTATAAACTTACCTTCTGTTGTATATCCAGCTGTCGTGTAATTGGCTCTGTAGCTTTAGGAATAGGCTTAGGTTCGAATTGACTGAGAAGGTCGTCGGAGAAGGACTCCACAATATTGGTAGGAGTTGTTAGGAAAGAAAAGTCCAACAAATCCTTCTCGGGGACCATTATAGGTGCCGCCGAAGGTATTGGCTGCGATTGTTTCCTGGATCTTATTTTGAACATCTCACTGCAACGGATTATAAGTGGGAGACGTATTCGAGAGAAGCAGAATAAAGAGAAAGAGAAAAAAAAAAAAAGTGGATGAGGCGTTTGCTTGTCAAGTCACAAGCAAATGAGGATGAGCAAGTGGAAGAGATTGTCTTTGTTGCAGCGACACTAGCGAGATAAAACTTAAGGGGACGACAAGGGAACTCAGGCAGGCAGTCTATGGTGCTGGAGCTATGCAGGGGTAAAATGTAGAGAATGCAGTTTGGAGATATAATTTACAAGGGGATGATCTGAAGGACATGGCTGCCCTAGTTTTGCCGCGTGTTCTATTTCAGCATACTGACAATAAGCATAGGAGCCACTCGTTTCGCGAGTATATATTGGCGATAATCGCACAACATTGCCAAACATTGTCCACACACACAAATACTTTAGCAGTAGCCATCCAGGCAATATAAACATGCGATCGAGATACACTTGAAAAAATGCGATCATCGCACAAAGTCTAACGACACAACACTTTTTAGTATATAATAATCTTTTTTTTTGGCTGAAAAGGCAACATAGCAGGACAACGAGGAGCACAGAAAAAAAAAATAGAACACTTAAAGTAGGAAAACAAGGGACAGTTGAACGGATAAACAAGCTGTCTTTACTATGAGATACTTCCATATAAGGAGACTCTGTTGTAACGTCGTGTAGTGTCCTCTAAAGAATGTATCGACAATGTAGGAAGCATATTTTGCCCTTCTATCGTGCCATTGAAATTATTGTATTCTTACATAAGAATGGTTATGTAACGCAGGTCGTCATACATTTGCGCTCTCCAGGATAGATTCTTATACCTTTATTAATGAAACATGGGCAAGGGGAGGTCATGTATACCGAGATATACTCTGCCTTGTCTATAAGCTCTTTTCCTTCTTCACATTGAAAAGACGCTTTTCAGGCATCACCGCAAGGTACAGTCCAAAAAGAATAAAGCGGGTGACCATCATGGATATGAGTGCAATAGTGTACATGGTGATGCGGTACCATGGGCCAAGCTCAATTAGAATGGTAACTGTTATGTAATTGAATGGGCTATTAGATATGTGAGGCTTTTACTTTGCAGCATCACTGAACTTACGTGATGGAGGAACTAGGACGTAATTCAGATTGTAGCTGCGAATCACAATGTGTTAATCAATCTGAGACAATGTCTTATGAAGACCGATAATCATGATTGCTCTTACGCAGTTCGTAATGCTAATACTTGCAGCACTGGGCAATGGTAAAACGCATACAGGAAGAAGCTGAAAAGTGCCATATCAAGTGATGCCGGCATCACAACATATCGTTTCGAGTAGAGCAAATACGCTGGAGCAATGAGAATCAAGCCGTGCTCTGAAAATCACGGAAAAAGGTAATTCGGTAAATGAATCTCCGATATGACATAGCGGCAACGGAGTGAAAGAGAAAAAGACACCAAAAAGTCCCACATTTTTCCTTACCGACGAAAAAGTTGGTCACTTCACCGAGCATCTCGTGATCTCGCAAGTCCGGAAACAGAAGGGCAGCAATAGCTCTACAGTAAATGTTTAATAACACATGCTTTTGGACTGCAGGTAGTGCAGACCCCATGGTGTGGGGTGGATCTATGGTAACCTACCCCCAGGCTGTATGCAAGTATACATTCAACAACAAGTGTGGTATAGGTGATCGCTTGTCGGGCCACATCATCACCGCTATCAAAAGACCGGCACTCACATGACAAGGCTGCAGGAGGAACATCACGGTGTTGGAAGCGATCTTATGGATGACGGTGACTAGAAACGATAACGTTAAGACAACGAGGATGCCGATCTCAGTTGAAGACGGGGGGTATGGAGGTTGAAAGGTCGTCAGCATCTTGAATGCCTTGGTGCTGTAGATTATCTTGATATTTAGATCAATTCCAACCTAATTGCTGAGGTGTGTACTTACTGTGGGCCAAATGCTCTCCAGGCAAAGAAAAGACCGGCAGAGATCCACAAGGGCGCAAATGTAACGAATTCAAAGGCATGATGCGCTGGAGAAACGAACCTACATGCAGCCGTTAGCAAATCAATGCTTATAAGGGAGTAGAAAGGGTATTACCCCAGAAAAGAGTGAATGAGGTACCAAGCGCCAAAGATGGAATCTGAAAAGTCTGTTTCGGCCCCTGGACGCAAGGGAACCGAGTACTTTTCGACTATGGATCCCAGTGATTCCCAAGTCGTAATGTTGCTCGACAAAAGCATGTTCACCATGAGAAGAATGATCCTTTCCAACCTAGCGACCAGAAAGGCAAGTGGATGAATACAAATGGGATTTCGCTCCTGTGACTGCAAAAACGGGGAAATGGGAATACAACAAATTTATATAGTGGGATAAACGAAATTATACGGGTAGAACTTATGTATATAGCATGAAAGGGATTATTCATCAACAATCTCCATAGTGCTTTCAGAGTCTATGGAGGTTCGAAAAGTAGAGCTAGTGTCAAGGACAAACCGCCCGTTTATCATTCTGACCTGCGGAGCAAACGGGCTGTAGTGAAAAGGAGACCATCATGCATGGTTAGTTAATGAAAAACAACAGACAGTTCTGCCTGGCATTGTACTTACTTTTCTGTCAATATGACCGCTTCTTCACCAGCTGCCTTCGTCTCACTCTGGCCATCCTCTGGTCGTTCGCCTGCCATATCCTCCCAGAGCTCCTCTGTGCTGTCCTCTTCTAGTAGACGATCAATGTCTACTTGTCTTGCTTTGCGTCTTGGTCGCTTAGCCATCCATCCAAATGGTTGCGCCTGATACTTGCCTGTTTTTCGTCTTGCCTTCTGCTTGGCTATAACCACCTCAATATCGGGAGACGGAAATCGAACCTTTCTCGAATGCGGTTGTGCAGATGGCTGCCCCTGAACCGTGCGCTTGAGTATCGGTTTGGGAAATGATAGGCTGCCATTGCCAACATTGGACGCCTGAGCAACCTTGGGTGAATCAACTAATGATAGAAAAAGTCATAAGAAGTTTTAGATGGATAAACTCATTGGCTACACCGCAGTAACCAGCCTTTGTCATAATGATGAGAATAAAAGTTTCGCTAATTACATTCAGGCTCACTCATAGTCTCCAATTCTTGTTTTCTTTCATTGCCTTTCTTCCCCTTCTTCGTACTCAAATCGTTATTGGTGTTGGAAAGCTTTGCTCTAGCGGCTGGAGCGGAATGGCGGCGACCTTTAGCTACGGATGGAGTAAAGCGGGTTGTATTTTTATCTACCAATAAAATATGAATATGGCTAATAACGGCTGTATTTTTAATGAGAACGTACTTACTGACGGAAGGAATAACCCAAGTGGTAGTCTGCATGCAACAGTGTCTTCAAAATGTGATTCCAAAGAGCAGAAACTCTCATATGACATACTGGATGGACGGACTTTGAATGCTTGACGGAAAAAGATTGCTTTTTTCAAGCTCAGTCAGGACACGGTTGATCCCCATTTTTGGACCAGCAGAAAAAGCTTTTCGTTCGGACACTTGTTTCTTTTCCGCCATGGGTAATTCCAAACCAAAGCAGCAATCCGCTACATACTTGTCGTCCACGTCTACCTTAAGACATGCTACGGACAGAGAACGAGAGAGAGACAAGAGAACTAAACCAGCCGCCCTTACCAAGGAGTTCCAAACAATCGACTTTGATACCGTGGATACCAGTGTCTTGCGCAAATACAAGAGAGTCTACAAGATCAAAACGAGAAGCAAAAACGCTGATAGGGAAGAGTTGGTTCAAGCTATATCAAGGCACTTTGTGAACCAAGCTGTCAAGGAAGCTGATTCCGTGACATGCTTCCTCTACGCCATCCGCCATCGAGACAGTGTCATGCGGTTACCACTGAATGTATAAAATGAAGAAGAAGCTGTGCTTTTCTCCTTGTTTCTTTCATGTTACAGTCCTCTTTTATTCCTTGTAAAACTTTCTATTCCCCATCATCTTTCGTTAATACAGATCGTTTGAAACAACATGCATACCACACGTGCAGACTTCAAGTCGTTCAAAGTAGAGCTTTAATATGAAACAACAACTATTAGCAAAGTGATTTTGGTAGCGAAGGGTAGCATAAAGTGCCTATTGCTTAATTGGGGTATGAGATAACTTTAGATTCGAGTTTTCTTGGTATGAAAAGCAATCTGTAAACCAGTACAGATTCGGTTGCGTGGGGCCTGCTCCAAATCAGCAGAGAACATGCCGTAAAGTTAAGAAAAAAAAGATAGGTGACTGAAGCTCCCATAGAGTCAAAATATAGTACAGGTTGGACTGGACCAGCAGCATCAAATGAGGATCCTGGAGTCGTCCTTTGAGAGGTCGAAAATAGAACATGGTGTAAGGTGATTGACCAGCAGAGAGTTCTTCTTTCAAATGATATAGCTCAGTTTGCTCTTCTCATTGGTCTCCGTTCGTTGTATCTATTGACAGCATGTGTTAGACTTTCTTGGGATAAATGACGACCCACCTATTTTAAAAAAAAGTCAAATTCCACTTTACCATTCGCACGTCCGATTCAGTCTCCGCTTCCTCATAGCCAGACGGCTTCATGCTGATTGGAAACCCAACCGTGGTCGAGATTCCCAGTGTGTCCTTGTTCTCTTGCAAAGTCCTTTCTCTATTATGCTTCAAGATGCGTTCACTGGGCAAAGTGGGTGCTGGTGAAGGACGTCAGTAGGATACATAGAGTGGGTTATTTGCTAGACTCTTCCAATTTACCTGTACTGTTAAACAGCATCATCTCATCCGTCAGTTTCTGCTTCTGATTCATAATACTGTCCATCACGGATCTACGTAGTTCCGCCCGTTTGGCCTGCAAATAAGTCAATTAAGGTTAATGGCACAGTCCGCTGAAAGATTTCATCCTCCGCTATGCAAACCCACTTATGCCTTACCAGAAAAGTTACGTGGGCTGACCGAAGAGAACTTTGCACTTGCCGATGAATATCGGTATTCTTATGCCGTCTCCATTCAGAGACTTGCTCCATCTGCTTCTTTCGCCTGCTATCGATTTCTGACATAGCTTGAGCATAAGTTGGATGCTTTCCCGTCGAGATAGCTACTACTTCTTTTTCTATCTCGGCTAGCCGTTCATGATACAACCTTCAGGGACATGGATGTAAGTATGTATATATAAGAATGCTCTGCATTCAAACAAAAAAGACATATTATGTACCTCTCTCGAAGTTTAGCAAAGTCCTGTTCTATTGATTGTAGGGCTTGGAAGGCACCCCTACGCAGTTCCTCATAAGCCTCGGTGTGTTCTATATCGTCTGTTCCATCAAGTCGTCGCTTTTTACTGGGCTCGGTCCGGTCTTGATCGCTAGCGTCCAATTCATGTTTGGTAGTTGGCCCCTCCTCATGCTTCGCCGAGGTAGGGCTTCGGTTTTCCCACCCCTGGCTACCAGTGGGCTCCATCCGTGGTGACCGTAATGCGACTACATGGCCGGACTGAGAGTTCTGCAGGTCGCCATGGTCACTGAATGAAGCATGCGATGGACCAATGGTGCTGTTGTGTGGTGAAAGTGATTGCGGAGTCAGCGTAGCGTCGTCAGGAAGACTGGAAGGTCTAGCAGGGGAATGTCGAGTATTGACTTTCAGGCTTTTCTCTTCAGTGGCTGTCAGCTCTTCTTCAATGGGTGCCGTCATAGTAACGCACTGAAGTTGCATTGGAAAATCTAGAAAACTGCTGAAGCTCCCCTCCCGGAACCTGCTTTCCAAGAACTTGAGTGCGTGACGGTGTTCCCCCCTTCCGCATCTCGCAGTTCAAGCGGAGATCGACGTCACCTCACATCACCAAAGCTGTTCAACCCCATTACATAGGCCTTACCAAGAGATTTTTTGATTTCTACTTGAAAAAAAAACGCTAATATATATTTTATTTGAAGTGGAATCGGTGTGTTGTAGTAAAAAATAATTTAAGATAGAAAATGAAAATGACCAAAAGATAGATGCTCCACACCAGGATCGAACTGGTGACCTTCAGATTATGAGACTGACGCGCTGCCAACTGCGCTAGCGAAGCGACTGCTTTTTTGGCAAAAGCAGTCGATAACATTTAGCAAGTATATACTATTTTATTTCATAAATAAGAAGAAGCGGTACATTTCGTCTATTAGACTTATAGCTGACATGTCTCTTTATCTATGATAACCTGCCATGTCAGAAAAATTGTGAAGAGGATGACAGTCACTCATCTTTTTATAGTACAGCGTCTCAGGTTTTGGGTTAAACACCCGTGGAGGTTCCAGATGTAGCTTCAATGGCATTTAATGAGCCAACCTGGGTGCAACTCTGTACTTTATGATCTATGAGTTAGCAACATAGAATTAAAATTGAAAGAAGCTAACTAGTACTTCACTGAGTAAAATCCCAAAAAAAATTCACATTGCTCAACAGCGGACGGTGCCCTACTTTTATGCATCATTTGTAAGTGGCGTACGGTGAATTATGTTCGCTCGTTGCAGCCTGCATTGAAGGCAGAAATTTGAGGCTATGAAATTCTTGCCGTAAGCTGCTTTTTTTTTTTCTCCTTCTATATCGCTTCATCTTATCAGACCACTTGCATTCCTGCTATATTTGGTCTATGCACTCCGCTAGTCTGTCACATCGGCTTTCTTAATAGCCCTGTGGTGCCTATATTTTCAAATGTTCCTTGCCCTAGAGGCCCTAAAAATAGTTAAGTTGCTACAAAAACAGCAGAGAGGAGCATAGTATGAAACCAAAAGAACAAGTTGGGCATTCACAGATGTGGAGAAAAACTTGGATATATTTAACGAGTATCCTCCGAGTGGGGCTGACCGACGCTAAAGTTAGTTAACGCACTCACTCGACAGGTTGGCGTGTGAATAATTGTGGCCAAATGCACATAATGCAGCCGGTAGTTGGCAACGTACCCACACCTTTTTTTGGCACCTTGCCAATCAGAGTACTCTCGCTTACATTCGAGTGAGGTCATCCTATCGTACTCACGTCGATTACCTTGCTTCAACGTATGCATTGAAAAGAGCTCACCCACTACATAATTTATTAAACTTACTCAAAAATCGTTCCTTCAAAATAAACAAAAGCATGAAAATTTTTCAGCATTTAAGCGGTTTGCATGATTCACTCAGGTCAACTTGACAGCTAGCCATTTATTTCATTTGTGACAATTTAAAATTGATAGAATTTTGAACTCAATAGAACTGATGAACGTAAATAAAAAAAAAGGGACTGACAGTCATGAAGGGAAAAGTAAGAACTACTTTTTTTTTTGGTGGGATAGCTTATAAGAAGCATGTTCCTGCTTTACGGCCTGACCTCGAGGTCTCATTCAGTTTCCTGTTCTTCCTTCTGGCCACCGCGTGCGGCGCCTCCCTTTCGTGCGGCCTCCTTGGTTCTCTCGCTACCTTTTTCAAATTTTCCACTGGAAGCCTGACCACCCTTGGATGCAATAGCGTGCTGCTTATCTGGGTCCATGGAAGCGAATCCTCCAGTGTGGCTAGACTGTCCTCCCTTCTTGGCGATTTCTCTGACTTCCTCCTTTGAACGGTTGGCAAAGTTACCAGGGTTTTGGTTTCCGTGTGAGCTCATAGTTTAGACGATGTGAACAAGTTGTAAAGTCGAATTGAGGATTGGACGTCTGCATTATATAGAGGTTGCTGCGAAACAAGCTTGGTTTGACTTCTGTAAGCATTACGTTTATGCTACTCAATATTTATGCAATACGCCTGAGGGTACGTTCAGCATGGTCGTGGTGTTCACGACGAAAGGACTCTTTCTTTATACAGGGTTTTTTTGTATATTTTTAAAAGTGTTTGCTATGGTCATTCAATTTGCCATGTTAATTTGGAAAAACCTTAACGGTCTGTTACACCGTGACATAAAGTTGTTCAAAAGTTGAAAAGTTGGGAAACAGGCCGTTCAAACACGGCATATACGCATCATAGCAGTGACATGATTTTTCCATCATGCTCCACATCCTGGCAGCGCCATAGGTATGGAAGGAATTTAAAAGGCATGAAAGATTTGTGGTCAACACAATGATTCACCGCATCTAAGAGTACCGAGCTGAAAGGGCCCCTGTTCAAAAGGTATCACAATATACTGCTTCTATCTATTTATTTACATTACATCTATAAGGTAGGGGTGTCGATCGTGTCTATGATGCCACCGCCTAGACACCAGTCACCGTTCCAAACAACCACATTCTGACCTGACGCAATTCCTCGTATTGAAGATACAAATTTGACATCATAGTGACTTTCACTCGTCTTCGTGATCGTGCATTTGATAGACGATTGTCGATATCGAACTTGGCCGTCCAAAACAAGACAGCCATTCATTTGGCTCAATTCTGGAGGCTCGCCGTTTATCCAAATCCAATCTCGAGCAGTCAGCCGATTTGCGAACAAACTTGGATGATCGGTACCAGGTACACAGATAAGCTTGTTACTGGCGACATCCTTCCCGGCTACAAACCACCTCTCTGTTCCATGATGGATATGGGCTCCTTGACCAATGGTATAAGCAAAAAGTCCGCGATGCTGTCCAATGATGTTGTCATGTAAGTCGACAGCTGGTCCTGGTGGGGCATGTATGTATTGCGCTAAGAAGTCAGCAAACTTGGCTCGCTTCCCAACAAAACATATCCCCATGCTTTCTGGTTTCTTGACAATACTATCCAAACCATGGTGCAGTGCCAATTCTTTCACTCTAGTTTTAGGCAGGTGACCGAGAGGGAACATGACTCGACTGAATGCCTGTTCACCCACAGCAGAGAGATAGTATGACTGGTCCTTGCTGGCATCCAATCCTCGCAACAATTTCGTGACACCTTTTGAACGATCTATCCTCGCATAGTGGCCGGTGGCGAACCATGTCTCTGCACCTGCTGCAGAAGGACTACTTGACATGCATCTCTCCAGCAAGGCACCGAATTTAATTTCTCGATTACACATTACATCTGGGTTAGGAGTCACCCCTCGCTCATAGTCGTCGAGCGTCTTTTGGAAAACTTGGTTCCAATATTCTTTGGTGAAGTCGATTCGCCGACAAGGGATATCCAAAGTGTCGCACACCGACTGTACATCACGATAGTCTTCCTCGCTGGTGCAAACGCCTCGTTCATCGGACGTATCCCAGTTTCGCATATAGACCCCCTGTACCTTGTATCCTTGCTCTTTAAGCAAAATAGCTGACACGGATGAATCGACACCTCCAGACATGGCCAGAATCACCGAATCCCCTGGACTCGGAGATCGTTTGGGTATGGACGGCAATGTGTGCGAACACCGTTTCCCTGATATAGTTGGCTTGCTAGCATGTAGACGGTATAAGGAATTGAAGAAACGACATGCTATGCTGGTGGCTGCATTCCGGTGAGCCAGCATTAGAAAAAGATTTTAATTTACAGGAAAATCAGTTTAAACAAAGAAAAAAAAAAAATTATATAAGACTCGCTGATTGAAAATAAATAAATGAAAAATCCCTTCTATAAAATATATATGCTATGTACGTATACCAGGTCTCCAAAGCAAAGTATTTGTTGACGTTGCGTGCGCTGGTTAATAATTATAAGGTTGGGGCGACTCTATAATAAGTCTGCGGATTGTAGACGGCATAAGAGTGATTCACTCAGCCTTGGACTATCGCTACTGGTTGATTGCCTTGGTTCCGGTGGGTGGTTAAAATTGGGTAGTACGCAGGATAGCCTAAACCTTGCATTCTTGGTCGTTTCAGGTATCTCCTTTGCTGAATCTGAAAGTTGTTCGTGCGATTTACATCGTCTGATGATGGACGTTATTCGTTTCCCAATATGTGTGGGCTTCGCAAAATCCAGAAAGGAATGGATGCTGTTGGTCGGTGACTGGTTCGGCATGACAGTTTGAGAATAATCTGGCAAATCGCCCCACACAAGACACAAGTCATCCCCTTGAATCTTTTCTGAATATTGCGGTAAGGTGACAAAATCCTCACTAGTAGCCCCTGCTCGTAACACCCACATTTTTGAATCCAGCATAACTTCTTTAACTAAAAGCGGTCGAGATGCTACTTCGGCTTCATTTGGGTTCGGTATGGATACTTTGATCAGTACTTGTATCCAATGTTTTATATTGATATCTCTGTAGGATGTTGAAGGATGAAGTGGTATTTTGCGATCATCAGGTACTTCATAAAATATTCGGTCCTCCCAGGGTGCTCCGCGAAGATCATCCATGTTGATGCCTAGATTAGGTGAAACTTGATCTGTTCTTCGCAATGTAATCTTGTGATTGATGATACGAGTTACGCCCTTTTCTGGTGCCCTTATCGTGCATCTCTCATGTATCTTGACAGTGACGCCTTCTATCCGAGCTTTGGGAACCAACGATGAAAAGCGCAATGACACAGGTAAGGTGGTGCCTGGACTGACAATGTGTTTCTCAATGGTGATACTGTACTCTCCAAATTCTGGAAGACCCCTTGAAATTGAAATAGATTCAGCTGGGCATTCTCCAGAGACTGACACGTCCACAGGCAATCGGATAAGTTGTATTGGGACTTCGGCAACGATTTCGCTTGATAATGGAAATCGCCGAGGTCGACGCATTGATGCTATCAGTCGGTACTCGACGTATCCGAGTTCACATTCTATGGATTCTGGAACATCGTTAGGAATGAACATTTCAAAGGGAAATCGATTGTAGCCGCTGTATATGTTGTATAGTCTATCAGAGTCATTGCCATTGCCAAGGTCAATATTAATGCACTGATTTATGAACCGTTTTTTGTCGTATGTTTGGTTTCCATCAGCGCCGATTCCTGTTGCCAAAAAAATAAAAGTATGAGATTATATGCTACATTCTGCGTGGCTGTCTGGTTGATTATACCTTCTGGCCATAGGGTTTTCGCCACCCCAACGAGTCTAAGGCGAATGTCCTGAATCACCGTAAGCCGACTACTGTGCACGACAACGAACCCGCGAATTATGTTGTTATATTGAACAACATTAGAATTGCCGCCACGAATGTAAACAACTGGTTCAACCAGTTGAATGGATATAGATTTCTGGAACATTTAATGTCGTGGAATGTATGAGAGGGGTATTTTTTAAAAGAAACAAAAAAGAGCACAACAAGCAGGATACAATTGCCAATGTAAGGCTACTCTATAGCTGTTTTTTTGGGTTGTTGTACAGGCGGCAAAAGTAGTAAAAAAAGTAGGGATGCTGAGGCAAGAGAAAAAGTGAATGTGAAGAAACACAGTTATCCTTAAAATACTGTTTGGAACCAAATAACGTTAATCGCTAAATTCTTTTTGGGAACCGCAAGAGCATCCTTGTGCATCAAAGTGGACCCTCCTCAGATTTGCCCTAACCTCCTCATCTATCGTACATGCCAAGCTCTAGCAATAAAAAGGCAATAGCTAATTTACGACGGACGAGCAATTTCATCGCTTTAGTACCGGGCATCAATGATAGTATGTAGCCCAAACCTAAATGAAAGGCCATTTAAAAAAGCAAGATTCACTTTAGAGGCATCAAAAATGTTCTTATTGTGGACGAGAAATTCCCCCTTTCAAAAATATAGTATGCTGCAACAAAGGAGGACGCAGATTTCTCAATCTCCGATCTCTATGCAAGAACGGATACTTTCAACCTGTTTACGAACACAGGGTGAAGTGGCATACTTACATGGTCATGATGGCGTTCTGTCGGCACTGGTGGAAACAGACGGTAAACGATATCATTTGCTGTCAAACAAGGTCAATATAATTTGGTATGTCAAACATTTTTTGTTCTGACCTGCCTGCGTATTGGAACAGCGCACATTCCCGCGCGCGTTACTTAGCAATCAGCCACTTGGGTTGATGATAAATCTGCACTGCGAGAGAACGTCGTCAGGTTGATTAAACTATGCTACTTTCTAAGGAGGTAGTATGTAATACGGGCATGTTCATCGATAACTGCAGTAATATGTGTGGCGGATAGATCGATGATGGGATTGAGGGTACGTGGGGCCAGATGGGAAGCGGCTGCAAGTTTCTGCTGTTACTGTTCTCCACCCCAGTAGAGTTTTGACAGGAGTGAAAAAGCTGATGGGGGCACCCCTCCTGAAACGATCTTGTTTTGCGTGCAGCACAGTTCGCCATCGTCAGGATGATGTTCAAGGCTTCGAAAAGTTTCTTTCGAAGGATCAAGCAAATTCTGTAAACGACATTTTTTACTATTTTTTTTGGTAGCGCTGAGACAGATTTGAAGTGGCGAAAAGCACTCAAAGCCGAAGGTACGGGCCATCCTCTCGAACAGGAATATCCAAAGTTTGGTTGCGCAGTATTCTATGGTACCTGATATATTACAAGTGTGGCAACTGATCCATTTATCAATGTTATTTACGTATTTGTTATGGAGTCTCGAGCACTGATAGTACTGCTTTAAGCATGCTAAAATTTTTGATTCTTTCGGTGCAAAACATTGACGGCTACCACTGTGTTTGAGAGTCCGCGAACGTCATAGCCAGCGGATTTTTTTTTGGCCTGGAACGGGACAAATTTTTTTTTAGGCATGCAGTACCGTGCGGACGATCACTAAGCATCGACTGCCAAACAGTAAGTCTAGCCCGTAGATATCCTCAACGTCAAAAGTACTAGTTGGTGACGTAGATAAAATAAATATACAGCAATTGATACAAAGGTTCTTCGTATGCTCTATAGAATACAACAAGGCACCCTGATCGTGTACACTTCCTTTAGAGGAAGAGGCACAGTCCTTTAGAACAGTCGGAGTCGTGACGGGCAATCTGAAGTAAGCGACCGCAAAAAAAAGTCCATGGCTCGGTGGAGACCAAAGAATATAAATACTTCAGGGCAACTTATCGAGAACCCTACTTATACACACTTAATCACAACAACACATTAATATGCCCGGAATTCTCAAGATCGTTTCCTTCAAGAAGGCCAACAAGAAGACCGTTACTTCCAAGACTCAAAAGAGATCTAACCAGGAGGCCCCTGCTGTCAATATCCCTGTCAAGGCTCTCTACGGTGCCATGATGTAAAAAATCAAGACATACATTACACTTGCATTAGACTTTAATAGGATGAGGGAGGAAACTCACCACAACCACGTTCATTCTTATGGCCCAGGCCAACATCTATCACAAATCATTCATTGTTCCATAGTGCATTCCATTATCATTTATCCACACATGCATCTAGCAATTCATATTATTTAGCCAAATCACAATCCCCCATCTCAATTTCATAAATATACATTTATTACATCATTATTATCATACTATATCACTATTGTCTGTTTTTTTTGCCTGTCTACGTGCGATTTTGTGAACATTGAAAACTTGTACCTGCAATTTTTTCTTGATGCGTGAAAAAGACAGCCGTCAAAAAAAATTTCGATCAAAATTGCCGCAGTGTTCAACTCCGAGAAGTTAAACTGCTACCACCATGAGCTTCTCGGCTCAAGAGACAGATCCAGACACGTTACCTCTTCCAATCACCGTGAACAGCGAGTTTACTCTGGTAGAAGACGTCTACGAAGAGCTCTTCCAGTTATACTCGGAAAGCGATCAGTCCTTATGGAAACACAATCACGCTGTCAAGCAGAAAGAGGGAATGGTGGAGATTGAAGTCGAAAATGTCAAGGGCCACCGGCCACTTCAATTCACAGTAATGCAAAATCAGTCACTCCTATCTAAGCGCGGCATTACTGGCAGTGTGCTGTGGGACAGCTCCATCATGCTATCCAACATGTTCACACTACACCAACAGTTCTTCGGTCTAAACCCAGCTGAAACCAAGGTCCTGGAGCTGGGCTCAGGATGCGGTCTATTGGGAATAACGCTGGCCTCGTTGGTGAAGCAAGTTATCCTCACTGATCAATACGAAATGCTTCCTCAGCTGGTCAAGAACATTCGGCGCAATCTAGGCGATAAATCCAATACTGAAGTGGCCGAACTGCTCTGGGGAGACACCATCTCCAAAGATTTGCGAAAGGAGATTGTGGACTGGGTGGTGGCCAGTGACTGTGTGTATCACGAATCACTGACAGGAAAGCTGGTGAAGACATTGTCGGATATTTGCCAGTTCAGTGATACAAACAAGATACAAAGATTCCAGGAAACCGGTGTCAAGGCGACGCGGACGTGTTTCGTGCTAGGGCAAGAGCTTCGTTCTGACACAGTCCATCTCGAATTCCTCACGTCACTGCACGAACAATTCATGGTATACCGAGTACCGACATCATTCATCCTGGATGACTTTCAGAATGGATACTGTATTTACTTTGGTTATCTTCGGTAGTGACATGCTTTTTCGATAGCCCTCAGCCCGAAACTTACTTCCACCCTACCCTAAATGCATGCATTTTGAGCTTAATTTCTTTCGCACTCATTATAATAAGAAGAAGGATGCAAGACTTAAACCAATGAAGACCTAAAATAAAAACCTTTGTCCATTATTCATCATAATTCGAAGACAGTATAAAAAAAATCAAATACAGAAAAAAGGCGATTATCGTAAAGGAGGAATAAAGAGGATTATTGACAGTTGCTGAAAGAAACTAAAAGAAGGAAGGCGGGATGTACAGTAGTTTATCTTTTTTTTTTTTGTATCGATGATCGCCAGAGTTTGGTTGCTTTCGCAAAAGGAACGGAGAGAATATGGATCATAAAAGACGTCCGATTGGATTGGAGAAAATCATCAGAATATAAATTTAGGGGAGTTTTCAATCGCTCAGCGTTGAATCTTCGCCTGGGCGAAACGGTGGTACATCTTCCAAAGTTCTGGTCGCTTCAACTTGATTTGGGGCAACATGTTCATTTTCGGAATGCAGTCGTGGACTGGACACCAGCGGAGGTGTATGAAGCTGCTGCTGAACAGCAGCCAGTTCGTTCATGATCATATTGCGTATGGCGGAATTGTTGGGTGACGACACACGTCGATCCATATATTGACGCAATGATGAAGATGAAGAGGAATTACTAGCAGCCAAAGAAAGACGTCTATGCCATAACGTGGAAGACGGTGATTCTGTTTGCTGCAAACTAGGTGACATGATGGGGCTACTGTTGACGCTAGAATTGTTACTGCCAGGCGTTTGGCGAAGGGTTTGCCTTTGCATTTGCGCTAACGAGTTTCTTTGATGATGGGCTCTTCGCATACGACTCACGAGTACTTGCACTGCAGCATCATCGTCGATTCTCACACTTCGATAGGTGACTGGTTCCGATTCGGCCGTGGGCGTCGTGCTGTTGTTAGCTATCATCGACATGGGCGATGAGGATGATCCAGCATCCGATGCGTTGGTCATAGCTTGTTGGCTATGTCTCCTATGCATGAGCATGCTTTCTTGACTACCAAGTCCAGCTGCTAGTAACATACTTCTTCTCCTGGCGATTCCATACATGGTGCTCGGCCTTCGACTTGGAAGTGGGCTTTGTGCATTTTCTCGTTCCTCCGCTGAAATTTGTTCCGGGTTAACTTGGGCAAGACCTAGCGATGCTGGATAGGAGGAGGATCCTTGAGAGGGTGTGATGACGCCATCAATAGGAGCATCCCTATCAACATCCATGAGCATCATTCTGTCTCTGTGCTCACGTATCATAGAGTCACGCGGGGTCTGCTCTTGTAACGCCTTGATCATATCTTCCTGGTCCCAATCCAACTTGACTCTGCATATCCTGTATTTCTCCATAACGCCTGCCTCTGATGGAGCGTGAACACACATTCTATGAAAGTCGACGGTCACCGCATCCGAATTTGGCCAATAAGAATCCTGTACCAAAATGTGTGCACGGTCCGACAAACCTCTATGGCTTGCATGCCATACATCGGGATCATTTAGTTGCTTATAGCGTCGTTCCAGTAAAGGCTGGTTTGCTCGATCAAAAGCAATTGGCTTATTGGTGGCGGGATGTATGAAGTAAAAAGTGTGGGTTCTACCAGCTTGTCGAGCGACCATGAGCTGCGCAATAGAGTTGATGGAACAAGAATGGAATGTTTTGAGCGCTGAAAGGGGGGTATACACCAAGTATTCGAAAACCAAAAGAAGATTACGCTTATCAAAGAGGTTGCCGGGAGAATAGCCTAAATTGCAGTAACCAGGAGAGATTCCAATTATATGTTTCGATAGTGAATGGCCGAAGAAAGTCGGAGTGTACCAGAAGGAGAGGAAAGATTGGTTTCAGCGATTCAATGGTAGACTGAAGAGAGCATTGAGGACGTTTGATAATATAAACAAGTTGCAATTAAGTAAAAAAGAGCAATGTAAATGGGTGGAGCGTTAGAATGACTAAGGTTTGTTTTTGGAGCAAACAAGCTGAAGCAGCCTAATTTTTTTTTTCTTCCTTCGCAGAGGAATCTCACCCAACCAGAGCTTGCATCTGCCTGACCAAGAAGGAGTGGCTTGTATGAAACACGTGATATATTGATATGGGTCATAAAAACTGCAAACAGCCAAGTTGTGAACTATTGGGATGTTTCTTTTTGATTTTCCCAAACCAACGAGTGTGTTTTGTTTTTCTTTAGCCAATACCAAGTTTCATCCCAAAAAATGGTTCTTTAACTAGCCAAGTGTTTCTCAGTCTAAAGTGTAACTAGCTTAAACCTTCCGAACTAAACGATCCAGGCCCAGTCTGAAGGTTTGATACTCTCACGCTGAAGGGACTGCGTAAAAAACATGAGCGGACAAGGTGTGAAAATGGAGGAATTTCCTTCGCTCAAGCTGCCTTTGCTGGCATGTTGTACACTGGTCCCAAATAAGTCATGAGTACAGAGCGATCCCAAGTATTTATATGTTGGTATTCTATTTTTCTAAAGTCAGTGCGGACCATTTTGTCCCACTGGCCCGAATTGGAGGTCGCAGTTGTAACCTGGATGGAATGAAAAGACGAGCGGGGGGATGAATACAATGATGCACACAACGCATACCCGACTGTCATCATTAGAATGTCATGACATGCTTGTTCTATTTGATGTTTTGATGTATCTACATGTAGCTGTTGGGTTTCCATGTCAGCACACAGAAGATTACGGAAGAGTACGTGACATTTTTTATATCGAACTTTTTTTTTGTTATTATAATTGGTTTTATTATTATTATTTTTTTTTAAAAACGAAAAGATTGGATTTCCTTGTGCCTCCGACTTTTTTTTTTCTTCATCCGCTTCTTTTCCTCTTTTCTTTGCTGTGATCAAAGAAGGGTTGGTTGGCATGGAAGATAACTCAATGCCTGAGAGTGCTAATAAGCATCTCGCTGACGCAGCCGACATGCTGAACCCTTGTTTTGAAAGTCTCAACTTTGCATCACCACCTAAAATCTTACAACAAGTCCCTCTCCATCACCAGCATTTCGAACCCATTACTCCGGATACCAGTGTTCCCAACAGTCCGACGTTTGGAAAACACAATCTCGACTTTACAACTCTATCACCCACTCCACTGTCACCGGCCAACCTCTCTCCCACATTTGAAACGGCCGAACCCATTTTTCATCGTCCTCCACCCTATCATCATCATGGCCGGCCTCGATCACAATTGATTCAAGCCCATAGCTATCTGGATGACAAGGACAGCAGTGATGAAAGCAAGCAATCTCAACGACCTACCTCATACTCTCCCCCATCGATGTCTCCTCGCGAAACGGGTTATCAGCAGACTCCCGCATCTTCATTCTCTACATCCAAAAGGGACTCCTCCTCTCCGCGCCAGTCATCTCAACCTCAACTAAGGGATGTAGAAACCCCCCCTTATTACTCACGACCTTCATCACCATCATCATCGTATGGATCGACCGAGTCAAATAGCCCAGTGCCCAAATCATCTCTCACCATACGACCCCCTACTCCGTCGCAATTCATATTCAAGAAGCCTGAATACAACCTCCATTACCAGACAACGCACTACCATCACAGTGAAAGTTCACCTAAATCCCCTGGAATTTTTCATGAATTACGACGATTTTTCGGCGGCACGCTGGATACCGTCACATCAAGAGACGGCGCGGAAAGCGTTTGTTCAGATGATGCAGCTAGTGTCAAAACCACCAACAGCCGAAGCAGTGAAATTAGCTTTGCCAACAAATTCAATGATAATCTGGAGGGCAAATACGGGAAGTGGGGTGAGTTTGTTTTTGTTATCTTGTGTTTGCCAATTTCCTAATATAGGATGTACATGGGCGGGCTAGAATCTAACCCATTCCCACTCAACTTCTTCCCTCAAACTAACCCAAACCAAATTTACCCTAGGCCGCTTTATAGGCAAAGGCGCCGGAGGCTCGGTTCGGCTGATCAGAAGAAGCTCTGATCAGAAGACGTTTGCTGTCAAACAGTTCAGAAAGCGACATCCTACCGAGACTGAAAAGGAATACGTGAAAAAAGTCACTGCCGAATTTTGTATTGGTTCAACATTACACCATACTAATGTCATTGAAACCCTGGATATTATTCAAGAAGGCCTTTCGTTTTACGAAATTATGGAGTATGCGCCCAACGATTTGTTCAGCGTGGTGATGAGCGGCATGATGTCAAGAGAAGAAATTGTGTGCTGCTGGCGACAAGTTCTTAGCGGAGTCGAATATATCCATTCCATGGGCATCGCTCATCGAGACTTGAAACTTGACAATCTGGTCATCGATGGCTTAGGCATTGTCAAATTGATTGATTTTGGCTGTAGCTGCGTGTTCAGACACCCCTTTGAAACCAAAGTGACCATGTGCAAAGGTAACGTAATCAACGCTATTTAGTACATATTTCATGACTTGCTGATTCTCATCACCCACCCATGCATAAATAGGGATTTGTGGTTCTGATCCGTATATAGCCCCTGAACAATATGTACAACCATCCTATGACGCTTGTTTGAACGACGTGTGGTCTTGCGGCATTATCTTTGTATGCATGAGTATACGCCGATTCCCTTGGCGTATTCCTCGGCCAACGCATGATGCTGCGTTCAAGGCTTTCATCAACCCTTCTGGTCAAGGTGCTTATCGTTTACTCAAGCTTCTTCCTCGAGAGTCCAGAAATATCCTGGGTCGAATTCTTCAAGTGGATCCTGCCAAACGGTGTAGTTTGGAAGAAGTGTTACAAGACCCTTGGTTGGCGAATGTAGATCGATGCACTTTGGAGACACCCGGCGACCGACATATCCACCACGTCATTGTACCACCTGGACCAGACGGCCACAAAAGAGGGAACATCGTCACCATTGCTGCTGAAGCACCAGGCGCAGTGGCTGACAAAGAAAAGCGAAAACAAGCTGCTTCAGGAGCCATTTCACCTGTACGACCTCCAATGCCACCCAGACGTCAAAGTGGCTACGCTTCAGGGAAACCTGTGCGTAACACCTAAAATTTGAACTTTCTATCCCAACTATTTGTCAAATATTCCCCCCATCGCAATAATACCACTCACTCAACATGTAAACATCTACAACAACTTACTATTTTACCACCATAACCGTTTTTTTCTTATCATTCATCCAAAAAAGCTCTGTTTGCTTTTTTGTTCCAACAACAGCTTCTATTTTTTCTTTTACTCCTCTTCCCCCCTTGTACATCAACTTTTCAAAGTATTGTTACTATTCATTTGTTCGGGATAAACGTTTACTCTTCCCCTCTCCTTTCTTTCTCTTTTCACCTTCGTCTTTTGCTAGTACACAATAATAAAAAGGAAAAAACCGCAAGAAATTCGACTTTGTCATAGCTGCTGGCTCGATTTAATATCCATTGTTAACAGTGGCTGACCAATCAAGCCATACCCGGGTTTGTTGGTACAAAGACAACACTTGCCTCCCCTCGCATATCATTCCTTAGTGGAACTAACCTTCTTTTCTTAGTATCCCAAATGTGCCTATCATTACTTTGACAAAGGTGCGTCGATCATCTACAGTCATTTGAAACACAAGCGCTTGCGGAGTTGCCGTGTTTGGAGTCGTTTGGAATGGAGGAACAATTGAACGTTGAGGGAGGTATCATTGTGCCTCTCTTGAAATTCTTCATTCCTGACCATGTTTTTTTTTTTATAAAAAAAAAAATGTCGAGGATCTGCCGTACCCACTGCGATTTCAGTCATAGATTACTGGATTGACGATAGATAAAAAAATAAAAAGTGCTAGGCATAAAAATAACGAAAAGAGAATTTTTAGTTGCTTCGTGCCGATTCGTTGCCCCTTTGTTCACCCTAACCACCTTAAATCTACCCATCTCCGTCCCCATTTATCATCATTCTCCACCCAAAAAATAGCATTTTCTCACATCATCCGAACCCTTCCAATCGCTTCATCGTCATCACTCTTTTTTTTGTGCGAATACAAGGCAGTAACGCCCAATAAACAGTAACGAATTTACCACGACTGCCTCATCTATTTCCTACAGAGGTTTGTAAGCTGCAAGCCATCATCCTACACCCATCATGGCCACTATCCAAACTGCATACTATGTACCAACGATTGCTGGTATTGGAACCACCTTTGCTATATCTGCATGCATTTCAGCCGTTTGCTTGGCCATCTACGAGGGGTGTAGGCGCATGAATTGCATGGAAAGCTTATTTATACCGAGAACTCTGCTCAAGAGGTACGTCTCCAAATGCTGGTCCTCCCATCCATACCCCATTAACCTACCTCCCATCATAGAGCACCCGCACCTCCACTTTCACCTCGTCTGTTTTCCTTTGTCAATGCCCTGTTTTTACCCAATTCTTATTATCTGGAGAACACGGGTTTGGATTCCGCCATGTATCTTCAGTTCCTATCCATGTGCATTCATTTCCTCATTCTGGCATGTGTATGCGTGCTGCCTATACTGTTGCCTCTCCATTGGATGTCTCAACTGACCACCTTTGATATCAATGAAACTATCACCCTGACCCATCTCAACGTTGCCAACGTTCCCGACGCCAGTGCATGGCTATGGGCGCATTGTTTACTGACTCATTTTGTTTCTCTCACATGGTTGTGGCTACTGTACACCAATTATTGGCGATATCTGGAATTGTTCAGAGCGCAAATGGCCCTGCGTATCGTCAAAGGCGATATCACGGCTCGCACTGTCATGGTGCATAACGTACCGCATGAGCTGCGTAATGACACAAGTTTAAAAGGATACTTTGAAAACTTGGGTGTAGGGCCTGTAGACGCTGTCAACCTAGTCAGAACAGCTGGAAAGCTGGAGAGAAAATTGAAACGACGCCAAGTCATGATTGATCGCATTGAACAAGCCTGTATTCGCTTAGGTCGAAATGTCATTAGCAGTCTGGAATTGAAGCGACGTCGAGCTGGTATTGGCAAAGTCGATGTGAGCCACTCGATGATTTTTCAAGATCCACTACCTAGAGATATATCCCTTTTATCATATCTGGACAAGGTTATCGTCAAGGCAGGCGATGTCAGAGACAAGCAAGCCAATATCGATGATATCTCTTTAAACGATACCGAAACAACTCAGTATGGGCCTTCCCTTTCAGTTCCCTCCACACCAATGTCAGTCGTACCCGTCTCCAACGACTATAACTTATGGACTGTTCTACTTCTCAACGTGTCACCCCATACTTTGCTACAATATCATCCAACCCATAGTGAATCAATTGCACTATCACTACCAGGCATTGAAAAGAACATCACCATACCAGGAAGCCGAAACTCAGAATGTACTCCATCTATTCCAAAGTACTTGCAAACGCTCAATGGTTTAACAGACAGAATAAGGTTTCTTCGAGAAGATGAAGCGTCTGCAAAATATTATCGGCCAACTAGTACTGCGTTTGTCACTTTCAAGTAAGTTTTTGATTTTTCACGCATACATATCTTGATGTAGGGTGTTAAACATGTTTCGTCATATCGCATATATAGGTCATGGAAGTCTGCACAGTTATGCGCACAGGGCATTACGTGCTGGAAGCCAAATGTCCTCAAAACGGCCTTAGCACCTGAGCCACGAGATATTTTATGGTCAAATTTGATGCGCCGAGGACGAAGAGGTAAAATCATCGGTCGACTGAGAGACTGGGTTGTCTTTGCTGCTGTTTGGTAAGTTGACATATTTTTGAACTTGGAAGCTTTCAATACTTATATATTAATACCCTTCCAATAGGGGTCTCACAATATTCTGGCTGTTTCCAATCTCCTTCATTCTCGGTTTAACGTCTCTGGAAGTACTGTCGAGACACTTCAACTTTTTACAATCATTTATGGGAACCTCGTCTGTTGTCCGATCGTTCATTCAAAACGTCCTGCCCACCATGCTGGTTACCCTGTTCATGAGCTTACTGCCCTGGATTCTGTGTGGTAAGATTTAATTGACATAGTTGCCAAAACTGACAGCTCATTTGTTGGTTTTCTATGATGCCTACCTATCCTGAAGATTTCTAAATCGTAATCCCCGCCCCCTTTTTTTTAATATCTTAGAATTGTCCAAGCAACAAGGCTTCAAATCATATTCTCAATTGGAAGACTGTGTTTTGAGGCGCTATTATCACTTTGCTATCTTCAACGTGTTGATTGTTTTTTTGCTCGGAACAACGTTCTTGACTACCATCATGAGTGTGTTGTACTCGCCAACAAGCATTATTCAGCTATTGGCAGAGAGTTTGCCTCAAGGGGCCAACTTTTTCCTCAACTTCATCATGTTCAACTCATGCTCACATGCTATGGAACTTGCTCAGCTGGGTACCCAATTGTTCGGTCGCCTTCTGATCCTTATCCCCTGTATTTCACCCACTCCCCGCGTGTTCCAGCGTCTATCCAGTCCCTGGTCCTTTCCTTACTACTACTATTACCCTAACCATATTCTTATTTTTGTCATTGTATTAACTTACTCTATCATCCAACCGCTTATTCTCTTATTCGGCTTGTTTTACTTTGGCATTGCACTGGTCGTTTTCAAGCACCAATTTGCCTATGCTTACATACGTCGGTATGAATCCAATGGTCGATACTATCGCCGTATGGTCCGCTACACCACGGATGGTCTTCTCATCTTCCAACTCACCATGGTTGGTCTCCTATACCTCAAAAAGGCTTTCGCTCCGGCAACCTTTGTGGTCCCGCTAGTCATCCTTACATGCTGGTCCAAGGTGCAGTTCAGTCGATTATTTCAGGCTAGGTGCAAATACTTCGCAGTCGATATCGACGAGTTGGACGAGGTCACAGCCATGGGTAGAGACATGCCTCAAAGGGGGTGGCGGTCTTTCCTTTACAGGATGGACGACATGTGGCGGTTGAGCTGGTTCGAGCTTTGGTGGACTGGAGCAAGAGGCAAATGGGAGAAGACCAAAAAGCGTAGCAGCCGCAAGGTCCAACAGCTACTTTTGTCATTGCCAGATAGCTTGGATGAACTGGACCAAGCCATGGTGACCACATCCATTCGCACCACGATCACTGCACCCAAAGTTTCAGGCAGTGCACCGCCATCTCAAAAAATATCGGTCATCATTACAGAAGACCATATCAGCCAGAAGGATGGATATTGTGCCTCACAGACCGACATTTCCACCACCTCCACTTTGATTCCCCGTGATGATATCTCTGAGCACCAGTCGTACATTCATCCCATCCTTATCAAGAAATTGGACGACAGCTTTATGCTTCCTAGTGATCCTAAACGGAGGATATGGAGGTTGAATGACTGTATCAACATACCCATTGATAATATTGTGAAACAGTATTATGGTGAAATCATTGATCAAGTGGAGACTGGAGAATACCATATGGACGACAAACTGAATAGGGAAATGGCCATGAACGACAGTGCCGAAGATCTTCATGAGAGCTTTGATACGCTTGTGGTTCGTCGCGTGGACACAAGAAGAACCGTGGGCTCTGAAGTCAGCCCATCTCCCAGGAGAAGAAGTAGAATATCCTTGTCTAAACGATTCAGCTTGGGACGATCGCAAAATAGCAGCAATATAGGCAGCGAGGTCAGCTTGAAGGTCAGCCTCAAAGACGAATTGGATGAGTTTTACGACATGAAGACAGAGGAAGTATCCTCTGGCGATGAAGATTAACTAGATCTGTTCCATGTACAACCACTCCCCTTGCTGTTGCAATCGTAATACTATATAAACAAAATAGTAGCTTCATCTTTTCTTTCTAAATTTTCTACTGCCCTCCTCACTTTTGTATTGCCATGTTCTCTAGTTTTTTGTATCCATTTTCTCTGCCTGTACTGTACCTGGCCATGAAGCTAATTGTTTAAGCCGAATAAAAATAAACGAAAGACATCACAAAAACATGAACTTTGCAGACGTTTTACTGACCCGCTCCTCATTTTTTTTGACACCGCTGGCAAACAGTGGAAAAATGGGTTGAAAAGTCGAGTGGTGACTGCTAATTTAGCTTTTACTTTTTTTTTAATAGGTGGGATAGACTACTCCACTCTGTTATACAACAATGGGTAGACGCAACAGATCAGCTTTTCTACCTACCAACATTCCACAGCTTCAGAATCTCCTGAAGCGAGATCCTAAATCGTATGAAGCCGAGTTCGAGCAACAGTACCGCCATTATGAAGCAAGTTTATCCATCTTCAAGCTCAAGCCAGACGACGAGGCAAAAGATCTCGGCGACCTGATCAACTTCATATCTCAAGTCTCGCAATGCTTCCCTGAGAGAACTGCTGAATTCCCCGGCCAATTGATTGAATTGCTTCAGGAGCACTATCAGGTCCTCAATCCTGATCTGCGCAAAAATATGGTACAGGCACTGATTTTGCTTCGAAACAAGAGCGTCGTCGATAACACTCGGTGGGTGTTTCAATCCCTTTTTTTTATTGGATTCGATGTTTTTCATCTAACCATTTCACTAGCCTGCTTCCTTTGTTTTTCACATTGTTCCGCTGCCGTGACAAGGCTCTTCGTGAACTGTTGTACACTCACATTGTCAATGATATTCGCAACGCTAATAACAAGGCCAAAAACAATAAGCTGAACAAAACTCTGCAATCCTTCATGTTTACAATGTTGGAGAGTGTCAAGTCTGGAAACAGCGATGAAAACGCAATTGCTGCTAAGCGCAGTGTGGATGTTTGTATCGAACTTTACAGAAAGAACGTCTGGTAAGTCGGATAGACATTTGGGCGAAGAGGAGCATTCATTCGCACAACCACGCAAGACTGACTTGAAATTTTGAATAATAGGAACGATGCAAAAACTGTCAATGTCATCGCCGAGGCTTGCTTTTCCCCTATCACAAAAATTGCAGTTACTGCCATTCAGTTCTTTTTGGGAAATAACGACGATCAGGATGATGATTCTGACGATGAAAATGATGTAAGGGTGCAAGTGGATGACAAAAAGTACCTTTCATGGCACGTTTAGCTAACCAAACATGTTGATAATAGGCACCCGATGTTCGAAAAATGCAACAAGCTAACCTTCACAACAAAAAAACCAAAGCAAAGGCAAGAAAGCTGGATGCCGTCAAGAAGAGAATTAGCAAAAAGGAGCGTTCAAAGGGAAAGGCTGAGTCTTTCAACTTTTCCGCCCTCCATTTGTTGAACGATCCACAAGGTATATACATATTTCTTTCAATCAAATGTTCAATACTTTCAGGCATTGAACGTTGTGGTATTTCTTTCAGGGTTCTGTGAAAAACTGTTCTCCAAGCTTTCTGGCAAGGAGGATCGATGGGAAGTGCGCTTGTTGAAGCTCAACCTCGTTACCCGTATTATTGGTGTACATCAGTTGACGCTGTTGGCTCTATACCCATTCTTGATCAAATATCTCCAACCATCTCAGCGAGACGTTACAATGGTCCTGGTCAGTGCAGCTCAAGCTACACATTCTTTAGTTCCACCGGATGTGTTGGAACCGGTCTTGAAAGCCATTGCAAACAACTTTGTTACTGATCGTGTATCCAACGAAGTCATGGCTGCTGGGTAAGTTACCAGAGACATAATTACAAAAAAAGCTTCGGCTACTTCGAGAATCAGTTAACTCACAAGGCTTTTATTTCTAACAGTATCAATGGTATCCGTGAGATCTGTACTAGACAGCCTTTGGCCATCGATGCCACCTTGTTGCAAGACTTGACAGAGTACAAGGCCCATAGAGATAAGGGTGTTATGATGGGAGCACGATCCTTGATTGCGTTATACAGAGAAGTGAACCCTGAACTTCTCAAGCGCAAGGACCGTGGCAAGGAAGCATCCATTTCTATCAAGGATTTCAAGTCTCTGCAGTATGGATCTGCTGACGCTACTGGTGCTGAAGGTATCACTGGTATCGAGTTCTTGAACGAAGGAGACGAGGAAGCTGTCGATGATGATAACTGGGACAACTGGGAAGTCGAAGACGACAGCGACGAAGAAAGCGAAGATGGTTGGGTCAATGTTGGTGACGGCGATGACGAAGGCGCCATTGATGTTGATATGAGCGACTCTGATGAAGAGAAGGAGGGCGAAGACGGTGTGAAGAAGGTCAGAAAGATGACGCAACGAGCCATGAAGAAGAAGGGATTGACCGACTTGGAAGAAATTGAGCTGACCGATGCCCAAAAGACTAAGAAGCAAAAGGACCTCGAGTTGAAGAAGGCGGAAGAAGACAAGCGTAAAGAGGCAGCTTTGAAATTGGCTACATCACGTATCTTGACGCCAGCTGATTTCGCAAAGATGAACGATATGCGAGTCACCGCCAAAGCGGACGTTATTGTTCACGGCAAGCGTAAGGCAGCGACCCAGAATGAGGAAGAGTAAGTTGGCTGCTTAGATTTTATTATAGCCATGCCACCCATCTAACTTTGAAATTATTTTGTTTGTTTACAGAACATCCTCCGAATATGTTGCTGAGAGTGTTATTCTTGGACCTCGCAAGAAGGCTAAGCAAGACTATGAAGAACGTATGGCATCTATTCGAGAAGGTCGTGAAGGACGTGAGAAGTTCGGATCCAAGAAGGGTAAGACTGAGCGCGGTTCCACTACCAATCGCGAGAAGTCACGCAACAAGAACTTCCTCATGATTTCACACAAGCGTTCTGTGGTCGCCAAGAGCAAAGCCAGTTTGCACGATAAGCAGAAGCAACTTCGTGCGCATATCAAGAAGCAGAAGATGAAGAAGCATTAGAAAATCCATCATTTCATTCCACCATTCCCATTTTAGATCAATCATCTTTCTTTATACAACGATCTGTATATAATTCAATTTGATTTTTTTTATAGCCATTAAAGCACCTTATCAACGACTACGGATTGAAGATCATTGTGTTGTTGATCACAAGACCCACTAAAAAAGCGTCCATCCTTCCATGTTACACATAGCCGGCCCCATTTCTCTATGCAACCAATATGAAGAGAGCGTATATTATGGCGAGATAAGCAACGCTGGATTGCCGGATGTTGTCTGCAGCGCTAATCACTGGCGGTATTTAGACTCCAGTGGACGGAGTACTGAGAGGTTGAGCGAGACTCCAACTGGTGCTGGATGGAGCTGCTGCTGCTGCTGCTGTACTTGGTGCGGCAGCAACCGAGGCAGACGAAACGGCATTGGCTACACTCGATGCTGCGGTGGCCACAGAAGTATTGCTGGCCGCTGCAGCGGGTGCGCTGGACGATGGGATGGCACTAGTGGCAGCAGAGGACGATGCTGATGAAGATGCTGCGGCTGGAGTACTCACAGATTGAGCCAGCACCTGTGATAAAACGCACAGTAAGAACAATGGCACCAAACGCATTTTAGAAGATAAAAGATAGATGAGGAAAGGGAAAAGTAGTGTAGTAACTGTAAAAATAGCACCTCTTGCGAGTAGAAATACAAACTCCCACAATTGGGTTTTGTGGCTGGCTCATGTAACAAGCTCTTGGCACAGACTTTCAGCAAGCATTCGCTGGTGTTACATATCTCAGCAGCTATTCTCCACGTATTGTGTCTAGTTTCTCATTCCTCCATCGACTCGTAACAAGCGATGCAATTTCAATGCATATATACTGTGAAACTGATTTGTAACCATGAAAGTTAAGGCGACGGCACTTGCCCCTTTTTCTTTCATTTACTTTGCAACTGTGTCGCACACTGTACTTTTTTACGACGGCAGCAGAAAGAGCTAGGTCGCAAGGTAATTGCGCTGTGGCGAATTTTAAATTAAAAAGCGAGCTACCGCATGCCATGCGGGTATAGCTGTAAGACCAACCATACATTTATGAATAAGGGAATGAATGAACATATGGATGTAGTATATGAACGTTCTGGATGAGTATCCTTTGAGATCATTAATGGATGCTTCAAGTACAATTTCCGAAGATCATTTCATTAATAGACCTTGTAGGAATAGTACCAACGTTATGTTGAAAATTTGGTATATTCCTCCCAGCAGGTGTTTGTAATTTTTGCCTTGTCGCTGGTGATAGGTTCAAATGTGAAAGTGAAAATTGAGTTTCTGGCAGAGTGACTGCTCTTTCTGAAAATGTGAAAAAAAAAAAAAGTTTAGGCAGCTCAAAAGGCCAGCGAAAAAAAACCCTCATATTTGTAACATAATTCCATCTACAAGTTCAATATGGGAAAACTGAAGAAGGAAAGGAACAGAGTCGCCAATACTGGTGGCAATCTTGAGAAGGCCGGAAACTTGAGAGTGAAGGGAGAAAACTTCTATCGTGATGCAAAGAAGGTCAAATACGTTAACATGCTCAAGGGCGGTACAGCCATTCGCAATGCCAAAGGAGAAATTGTTCGAGCAGCTGATTACCAAAACACAGAGACACCCATTGCTCGAATCGCACCTAATAGAAAGTGGTTTGGTAAGTATCATCCTAAACCGATGCTCATAGCCGCTCAGAGTACCTAACCCCTTTGATGGATCTTTTATAGGCAACACTCGAGTCATCGGACAAAAGGCATTAGAGAACTTTAGAGAAAGCCTTGGATCAAAAGTAAATGACCCATACCAGATGCTCCTACGACAGAACAAGCTTCCTATGTCTCTCCTTCAAGACCCTACAAAGCAAGGTCGCATGCACATTCTCGACACCGAAAGTTTTTCCAAAACCTTTGGTGGCAAGGCTCAGCGAAAGAAGCCTAAGGTTAATATAGCATCGTTGGAGGAAATGGTTGAGAAAGTTGAAGATGTTACAGGTAATTAGAAGGATGCGCTTATATATCTATCGGATTCATTGATCTCGATATTAACACACCCATGGCCTCCATCCAGAATCATATGCCCCTGCCAAAGATGCCAAGTTGTTGGTCAACCAAATCACAGACTTTACCGATCAAGCCCGTGGATGGTATCTCCAAGCTGGACAATCTAAGCGTATTTGGAATGAATTGTACAAGGTCATTGATTCATCTGATGTTGTTATACATGTCTTGGATGCCCGTGATCCAGTTGGAACGAGGTGTAAAAACGTTGAGCGCTTCATTCAAAAGGAAGCTCCTCACAAGCATCTCATCTTCATTCTCAACAAATGTGATTTGGTTCCTACTTGGGTAACAGCTCGATGGGTCAAGCACTTGTCAAAGGAACACCCAACTCTCGCTTTCCACGCTTCCATCAACAACTCTTTTGGTAAAGGATCCCTTATCCAACTTCTTCGACAGTTCTCTGGATTGCATTCGGACAAGAAACAGATTTCTGTTGGCTTCATTGGATACCCTAATACCGGCAAGTCTTCCATCATTAACACACTCAAGGCCAAGAAGGTATGCACAGTTGCACCCATCCCAGGCGAGACCAAGGTTTGGCAATATATTACCCTCATGAAGCGTATCTACCTTATCGACTGTCCTGGAATTGTACCTCCTAACGCTGAAGACACTGAATCCGACATTATCCTGAAGGGTGTTGTTCGAACTGAAAACATTCCTACACCTGAAGACTGTATTCCTGTCATTTTGGATAGAGTTCGAAAAGAGTATATGCAGCGCACATACGAGGTTCGTGAATGGAAGGATCCCACCGATTTTATGGAACAGATCGCTCGACGCACAGGAAAGTTGGTCAAGGGTGGTGAACCTGATCTTCACAACGTGTCCGTCAGCATTCTCAATGACTGGCTCAGAGGCAAAATTCCATTCTTCACTCCTCCACCATCTGTTGATGGTACTCAGGAGACAGCCGCCGATGCTGCTCGATGGGGTGAAAAGGACTCTCAAATCAAGGCTGCCAATGCTGCAGCTGCCAAGGCTGCCCATCTTGAACGACAAACGGCTGAGCGCAAGGCTGGACGAGTTGGTGTTGACCAGTTGTTCAGAAAGATCCGTGTTGTCACCGAATTCTTGCCCGACGATCTTGAAAATGATAAGGACTTGAAGGAAGAGGAGCGCGAGAAGGAAGCGCAAATGATTGCCACTAAGAAGGAAGTAGTTGCCGCTGCCGAAGAACGCAAGAAGACCCGCAAGGCTGCCAAGGAAGCCGCTTTGGCTGCTGAAGAAATCACAGACTGGGATGAAGTATTTGGTAGCGTTGTCGGTGAGGAAGGTCCTGTTGTTGAAGCACCTATCATTGATGGAGAAGAAGACAGCGAGCTCGAGCTTAGTGACGACGATAAGGAAGAAGAGGAAGGCGATGATGCTCAAGAACAAGAGGAGCAAGTTGAGGCAGCCCCCAAGAAGGCCAAGTCAAAACTTCCCGCGTTTGAAGAAGAGGATATCGGTAAGTGCCATTTTTTTGGTTTACATTTGAACGCTCCATTGTGGGACCACGTTTCTAATCTGCCAGCGGTTGCTCATACAGACTCCCGAAAATCTACCAAAGATAAGCGAATGACCACCAACAAGCGAAAGGTTGGTGTTCATTATTATGAGACTGCCAACGTCAAAAACAGAAACCGTAGCAAGGTCAAGCCTGACGGTGGACCGAACAAGAAGAAGCGTAGAGCATAACTTAGTTTACATTCCCGAAATATGTAATTTGTTGTTTTTTTTTCTCCATTTTTTGCTATTACAAAACCAAATCATCATTCACATAAAAAGAAAACAATATCAGCCTCTGGTTTTCATTCACAGCCCACTCCATGACCGAAGCATCCACTGCAGCCAAACATGCTGCCAATGCTACTAAATCTTCCGCTCCTCCACCCACCGAGGACACACCATTGCTACCTGTGGCTCCAACGGAAACGGTAGACCACTATGAGGAATCGCTAGTGTTCAGTCTCATATTTGTTCTTCCGAGCACCATTTTCTTTGCAATAACCCTCATTGCTTGCATTACCCCCTCGACATGGTCCGTGTATCAATTTTTTGTCAGTCGCTGGCATTATTCAGGCTCTCTGCCCTTGACTTGCTGGATCCTGCTATACCCTATTGTTTGGTCACTGCCACCCATCATAAACGTCCTGGCTTGGCACGGCATTTTCAAAAAACCGCTCACCCTCCCTGAGCTACAACCGAAAATTCCATCCACCCGAGTGGGCCGACAGCTTCTTGCCTGGTCAATCCCTCGGGCTCTATTATTCCTTAATATTGTATTTCTTATTGGATTTGCCATCACCATTTTAGTTTCAAAAGAACTTCGTAGCCTGGAATGGACAGCCGCTCTTGCCGCCATATGGGGCGCCTTCGTCCTGACTTGGGTGTCCAGCCAAATTAATTTTTATGCTCGCCGTCGTGTGAAGCGATTGATGGACTTGGCAGAAACTGTTCATCTCGAAGAGGAGCAAGAGGAAATGGAAGCACGAGAGGCGGCAGAAAGCAGCAACTTGACCGAACCCATTCAGAGATCAAGGACAAACAGTACGAGTAGCTCGGGCAAAAGTGAATTATTGACCGCAGCTAGCAAGCCATCCGACAGACCCAAAATAATAGCCCGGATACCGACGAATCACAAACGTTTATTACCAGCTCGAATTCCTCTCTACCGTCTGACAACCGAAACCACTCTCCATTTATTATCGTTTGCCGCCATCTTTTTGTTTGCAAACACTGTCATCCGAGCACTGGAGACTTCCAAGCATCCTCCACCCGGCCAGCGATTTATGTCACAAGACGGCACGCTTCTTCACATTCATTGCCAAGGATCAAATCAATTAGGAGACTACACAGTACCCACCGTTGTGTTTGAGCCTGGCGCGTCTGTGCTAGCATCTCACCATGTCCAGTTTTTAGCCGAACTGGAGAAAGAAGGTAAAATAGGACGATATTGCTGGTACGACCGTGCTGGGTATGGTTGGTCTGCAAGTGGTGCTCTGCCAGCAACGGCAGAATATGCCGCCGATCAGGCATACGAACTCCTGGTGCAGCAAATGAAGGAAGACCATATGGTTCTTGTTGGTCATAGTTATGGAGGCATGATTGTTCGCCTGTTCGCTGCTAAATATCCGGAATACGTTTCCGCCGTTGTACTGTTGGATGCATCCCACGAAGATGAATTATTATGGACCGACGTTCGCACGGGTCATTCAGCTACCTTGGAATGGGCTATAAGGAAATGGCAATGGTCATGCACGTTATATGACTTTGTCTGGTTAGTCCTAGAGCCTTTAGGTATTGATCGCTTCGTGCCGATTTGGAGCATTGGTGATGAAGGCTGGTCAACCTATAGTGAGGCAACAAAGGCTGGGCTATTAAATGGACGCGCTCTTCAGGTAAATATGCATACAGTATTGGTTCTTTTGTACTTTTACATCGCATACTCACACTGCTTGTTCTTTAGGCAATTTCCAGTGAAGTTCGTCATTTGGTCACGCTATCCGCAGATCAAGTCCGGTCCACTCGGCCATCCAGATTCACTGAAGACGAAAAACCCACAACCTCACGCCAGCTTTTATTTCCACCCGACTTGCCTGTTTCTGTTGTCACATCTACGGAATTGGGATGTCAGTTCAAAGAGTGCCAAGATAGCGAAGAAGAAACCAAAAAGGCGTGGAATGAGCTTCAAAGAGACCTCGCTTACAATTTGTCCTTAGTAAGCGAATGGATCGTTGCTCCTAATACACCTCACATCCTCTGGCGAAGTAAAGAAGGTGCAGAGACGGTGAAGGACGTTGTAGTGAGGATGGTATCTACTCTTCGTATATAGTTTTGTATTTTGGGACATTAAAGAGACCTATGACATGAATAGAGTTAGGTTTATTCTCTTCCGCCACACAGCTTATGTTTTCTCGTGTAAACTACATTTCTCGTGCATTCTACCGAACTTCCAGTGTTGCGAGATCGGCTGGTGTGGTGCATGGACGAACACGTTTGTCAGTGACAAAGTATCCTGAGTTGAAAAGGGATTCCAGATTCCAGTCATTGAACGACAAACACATTGATTACTTCCGGGCCGTCCTCGGCGAGAACTCTGTGGTTTATGACAAGGACCCTGAATCAGACGCCATTGTACACTACAATACTGACTGTAAGAACCTATGATTTTAATGATTCATTCACGTGGACAGCATACTGATAGGAAATTACAGGGTTCAATTTGTACAGAGGTACATCCAGGTAAGCGTGAAAGTTTAAGAAGGGACGAAAAGAAATCGGTAATAATTCAATTTACTCCCCTATAGCCTGGTACTCTTTCCATCCGACACTGCGCAAGTATCATCGATCCTAAAGTACTGCAATGAAAATAGACTGGCCGTGGTGCCGCAAGGTGGCAACACCGGTGTGAGTGGCGGAGCTGTTCCGGTCTTTGATGAAATCATTATCAAAATGTCCCGCATGGATCGTATTCGGAAAATCGATCAAGTATCTGGAATCGCTGTGGTTGACGCTGGTGTTATCCTTGAGAACTTGGACAATGCAGTGAGTGAACACGGATACATGGTTCCTATAGACCTAGGTGCTAAGGTATGATATGTTATTCACTGTGCAAGGTATGACATGCTAAACACTAAGCTAGTACTTTGTCAGGGCTCATGTCATATAGGCGGAAACATCAGCACTAATGCTGGTGGTCTTCGGTATGTGCGATACGGTAGTTTGCATGGCAATGTACTTGGCTTAGAAGTGGTACTCCCGGACGGCACTGTACTGGAGAATCTATCGACTCTGAGAAAGGATAATACTGGATATGATTTGAAGCAACTGTTCATTGGCTCAGAAGGGACTCTGGGCATTGTAACCGGAGTGTCTATATTGACTCCTCAGCGCGCAAAGGTAGAGAATACGGCAGCGTGATTGAAAATTATGCACCACCATTCTAACACCGACATTACGCATCATCAGGCTACCAATCTTTCGCTAATTGGCCTTGACTCTTACGAGGATATCCAAAAAGCGTTTGTTAGAGCGAAGGCAGATCTCTCCGACATTCTATCGGGTAAACAAAATGATTGATTAGTTAAATCGCGTCAACATAACTCTAACCGATCGATCCGTTGTCTTGAAACGCTAGCATTCGAATTTTGGGATAAGGATTGTATTGAAGTCGTGTCCGAGAAAATGTTACCAGGTGTACAATTTCCTCTCTCTTCTGAAAAGCCTTATGAGTTCTATGCTTTACTAGAGACACAAGGAAGCCGTAAGGAGCATGACGAAGCAGTAAGTTCTCAACAGCATGGGGGAAAGGTTGTGGACCATTTCGAATAACTTGCGCTTCTACTTAGAAATTGGAGAGTTATCTTGAAAGTTTGCTAGAAGACAACATTGCAAAGGACGGCGTGGTTTCACAGGATATTAAACAGGTTTGTAAGAAATGAAGAGATTGGATATATACATGCTAGCAAATAACCAATGTCGCACCAAATCATATTGCAGACACAAAGCTTATGGGCCTGGCGAGAAATGATACCAGAGGGCATGACGAAATATGGGCCAGCCATTACTTATGATGTATCAATGGATATACCGCTCCTGTACAAACTTGTCATGGATACAAGGGCACATTTCGAAAAAAAGGGTATGATTGGCCCGGACAAGGATTATGTCAAACTCATAGGATTCGGACATGTCGGTGACGGGGTATGTTTGGTTCTGGGTAACTATGGTTATATACTATTTTTGCTAACCTTATTATGTTCCAAGAATCTTCATATTATGGCGGCGACGAATCGTAATGATTACGATTTGCAAAAGCAGCTGGACGACTTCGTTTATACATGGACTGGTGAGTCAAGATCCATGAATATTGATTGATTGGACTAGTTTTCCAGTTTAAAAAATATATATTTATATTTTTCGCGTCACTCCAGCTAAACATAGCGGCTCTGTGAGCGCCGAACATGGCATTGGCATATCGAAAATTGGATATTTGCCATACAGCAAGAAGAAACCAGTTCTGGATCTGATGGCTAAGCTCAAAGCTCAAATTGATCCTCGAGGAATTATGAATCCATATAAAATATTTGGTAGCGTACCGGGACAAAATTGATTAAACAGCAGTGAAGATAGCTTATTTCCGAAGGCAATGAAATAAACCGAAAGCTGCTACAGAAATCTGATTTTAAACTTTCAATGCCAGCTAATAAGTACATACTTTCTGCACTCGGTTGCAAGCTAAGGATGGACGTGTATACAGGCACAAGGCAATCGCGTGAGTAACCCGCCGTTAAAATCTACCACCAGCAATGTAAAATATCGATACCAGTGTGGAGGAATCTCTGGTACAAAAGCCACTCTACCTCCTCAAAGGTTCGATGACGATTGGGCATTTTCCCCGACAGTTTCTTCGTGTATCTTTTTTTAGAGTCGCCACCGCCACAGTACAGTGCATGGGGCTACTGGCGGAAGCTACACGCTTTCTGTCCTCTACAAAGTCAAATGTAGACTTATAAAATGGTAACGATTAAAAGGAGAGGATCACAGTATATTTGTGCGAAAATTTGCGGTCAAAGAAAAAAAAGAAGAAAGAGAAAATGTGGAATAAAAGTGAAGAGATTGAAAGAGAAGGGAATTGAAAGAACGGTTCTTCAAGCAAAGATTTACAACAAATTGCACTTCTTCTTGGCCTTAGTGGGCTTGTTGACCATCAGAGCTGCGCGGGTAGCGTGCTCGAAAACTTCGCGAACACCGTTGCCGTCTTTTGCTGAGCATTCGAGGTACTTGTATGCACCAATCTTGTGAGCAACAGCCAAACCCTATATTTGCGAGAAAACGTAATCAGCAATCAAATGTCATGAAAGGAGAGGCTGAGAGGAATCGATGACGGTGGAAGGGGGCTTCGCTGGGCAGTTGTACGTGCGGTTGGCTATCATCAGCCCAAAATCAAAAGCGCTACATTTACTAACCTCTTCGTGGGTGACTGGTCTCTGTGAGGTCTTTCTCAACTCCTCAATAGTATGTGGGTCGTTTCTCAAATCCTTCTTACAGGCAACCAACAAGATGGGAAGGCCTTGGCAGAAATGGAGTACTTCAGATATCCACTGTGTAACACAAAAGTATCATGAATGGGTTAGTGACACTCGGTAATAAATGCAGCTGAATGAGGCAGACTCAACCAAAACATTGAAAATTGTACCTTCTCTTGAACGTTATCCAAAGAATCTGGCGAATCCACAGCGAAACAGATCAAGATAACGTGGGAATCGGGGTAAGACAATGGGCGTAGACGATCGTAATCCTCTTGGCCTATCATGCACAGAGATTTAGCGTTCGCAAAAATAACCAGTCGGATTTTTTTTGGGGAGGAGAGCTCCTAAATGGTAACTCTAGCTTACCTGCAGTATCCCAAAGAGCGAGTTCAACGTGCTTTCCATCGACTTCAACATCTGCAACATAGTTCTCGAACACGGTAGGAACGTAGAACTATGGAAATAAGGTTAGCCTTGTGCGATCGCCCTGCGTAGGTTTTTTTGCCTTGTCTCTCTTTCTTTACCTCGGGGAAAGTTCCTTTAGAAAAAACGATCAGGAGACAGGTTTTGCCACAAGCACCATCGCCGACAATGACAAGCTTTCTTCTGATTTCAGCCATACTCTGTAAAACAACGCAAGAGTTAAAACCTGAACAATAATACTGACAAAAAATGTGTAACGATGAAAGAAATAAGATGATAACATCCTTCGAGTCGCATGTGCTCAATAAACCCATTTAGAAAGTGACAACGAAAATAGAATAAAAAAATGAAAATTGGCTCATAATGAAGAACAGGTTTGAGCCCGGCCATTCCTTCATATTGCGTACAATATGTCTTGTGGAAAGTGAGTATGAAGAGAAGGAAGCAGGCTGTGCCAAGAAGGAACAGCACAGAAAATTGAGGTGGCGCAAGCTTGCAGCTATTGAGAGTTCAGCGCCCTGCAAAAACACCAAAAAAAAAGCTGCAAGCTCGCCTTTACAGTCATAAGGAAGAAGACATGACGAAGGAGAAATAAGGTGTAAAAAGCAATAAATCAAGAGGAAGGAATAAAAGAAAGCGGCAATAGAGTTCATAGGTGAGATGAGATCATGGGTGCAGGACACATGGTAACGAGAATCTGGCTGGGGCGAATCCAGAAACTCATTAAAGCACCAAATTGTACCAATTGTCAAAGGATGAAGCACAAGACGGGAAAAATATAGCTGAATGGTTGAAATGGATGACAGAGATGGAGCATCTTACCTAAATGTTGGAGCGGATATAAGTGGAGAAGGTAAGGAAGCTACGGGGACGGGGCCCAGAAAAACGCTCCACTACAAAAAATTCATGTTGACGTAGCGCCCAGCTTGGACTTCAGCCAACCCTCGCATAATACTGATATAATGTCGATTGAGCTCAATCCTTCTAATCAGCTAGCATTTCAGCGTAAGAAGCTCTCAGTGTAACTCAATCTGGTTCATCTGTTCCATTAATAACCATGTTTATTTTTGCCTCTCTTTCAAAGGTCCATTGACGAGGACTGTAACGGAAACTTTAACACTCAACAATCCCAATGCAGAACCTGCCATCTTCAAAATCAAAACCACAGCCCCAAAGGCTTATTGTGTAAGACCTAATTCTGGTAGAGTTGATCCTGGATCCTCGGTCACTGTTCAAGGTATGGTAGTTGTAGACGTTTGCCGTTCAATAACCCGGAGCTTGTAGATAAGTGACCTAACCCCCGCTTTTACACCGGTATTTTTTTTATCTCCCGTTCGTACGGCTCAGTATTGTTACAGCCAATGGCTCAAGAACCAGCTGAAGATCACAAGTGCAAAGATAAATTTTTAGTACAAAGCGCCATATTGCCTTCTTCTTTGGCTCACCTTCCTCCTGCTGATATTGTAAGTTTAAGCCTTTTGTTGGTTATCGCGCATTGTATGGGTCGCTCATCCTTTCATCTTTAATACCAGATGTCTGAGATAAACAGCTTGGATCCTAGTCAAATCCATCAGGCAAAGCTCAAGTGTGTCTATTTGCCAGTATCTCATGATGCAGAGGTAAGTGATTCAAGCATATGATTGGAAGGTCTACCAAGTTGCATGACTTAGAAAAATCTCATTTGCTACAGCATAAACAGCCAGCGCAAACAACTCAGCTTGCGGAGGAACAAATAATACCTGTTCAAAACATGGCCTCAACAGAACAAGTGAAACGTCAATCTACTATCAATAGTGACGAAGAGGAGGCATACCAAAATGCTCGAAAGCCACAAGAGCAAATCGTTCCAGAGCCATTGGGCTCACCCGTAACTCCTCCCATGGTATCCCCACCATCTTTCGATCATGAAGACACACCAGAACAGCTTGCACCTGAGCCGATCGCTGAAAAGGACCCTGTAGAAAGTCAGAAAGTGAACCCTTCTCCACCCGCCACCATTGTTCCTCCAGTACTAGCTTCCAACAACAATACGGATGAGGTTAAGCGATACGAGAACGAAAATAAGGAACTACGTAATAATTTGCAGTCTGCAAACGAGAGTATTTTGTCCATGCAAAAGAATATTGACTCTTTAAAGAGAGAGCTAAGCGCTGCTCAAGCTTCTGTGATCACCTTGCGCAAAAATGACTCGGCTTCTACTGCTTCCGCTACAAGCAGTGGTAGAAAATTGGCATCTACAGTTAAGCCAGAAGACGCAGTACATCAGCATTTGGCCTCGTTACAAGTGGCATCACCTACAGAAGGATATCCTCCCCAAGTAGTGGCAATCATCGCCTTTGTTGTATTTTTATTCACGTGGCTATTCTTTTAAATGCATGCGAAGATTATAATTTTCCTGAATTGCTCGAAGAACAAAAACGAAAAACAAAAACAGAAAAAACTTCATACTTGAATTTTAAACGACAGTTATACGCTGTCTCGTATAGCTGGTTACTTACATGTAATAAAATCGAATAGTCGATTGGTGAAAATTGTGTGATTTAGATTAGATGAGAGTAGTAGCGCACCATATTTCTTCAATAATGGGTGATTGATGTTTAGCAGTTGGGCTCAGCGACCTAATTCGTCGGCCTTGGTGACATCTTAATGTCGTATTTGATACGGAGTGGCTCAAGCATGAAAGAATTAACTCTCATAAATTGTAAACAAAACGGTGAAACTGATTTTTCCATAATTTTAAAAAGTTGTGCAAAATGAGAAACCGAACAGAAACGTTTTTTTCCCTCGCGAGATACTTTTTCACATGATATGCCTCCTTTTTTAAAAGAAAAAATCTTGGTCGCTTGGATAGCTAAGCATACTTGACGTTTACATCTGAAATTTACGTTTACGCGATACAATGACTACAACTTGTCTGATTGTCTATCATATAGCAGCACCCAAGAATTGCAGCATGCATTCCAATTCGCAATAATCATTAACAAGACGTGTTAATTAATTCATGCTCTCGAGTGCTACAACATGTAAACCGCACTGAAGCATCATATTCACTATCGTAGTTGCATTCTAAAGACAATCAATTTTAAGTGAGAGAGGTGTCTGTTGCCATTGAAAGTTTTCAAACTTCGATCAAAGCAAGTGTCTCTTTTTCTTTTTCCTTTTCTTGCAAAAAAAAAGGCTATTTTCTCTAGCAACTGATCACAAACATTCAAGGAACAAATTTTTCGAAAAAGAGTTTTGCTGAGACAAGAAGGAATTTCCAGGCTAATTGATGCCAAAGGAAGACTATGATACGCATTGGGCGAAAATAGCTCTAACACGATGCTGCTCTTACAAACGGCTGCTTGCTTTCATTATCAAGAATTCTTTTAATGAATGTATCTATCTACTAGTGCTAAGATCAGCAACAATTCTACATATTGACATATGGAAGTGGCACCATAATTGCCCATTTTGTTGGGTATTCCATGAAGACCAGAATACATGAATTACCGCGAGCGCTTGTCGGCATGTAAGCTAATCCGCTGCCGAGATTTTCCTGTTCAACTTGGCAGTATTGGTTTAATGAGAGTAACTGTCGTATTATTCCTAACCTTCAATCTTTGGCAAGCATCGCATCTCTTAATGAATTCTTGGACATCTTCTTTCATATTTAGCTACCAAGTGATACCTTGTATTGTCTTTAGGGTCTTATCCACGCCAGATTGCCCACCGGCGAGGCCGCCGTGATGTCTTTGTAATCCGCGTCAGTGCTATCTAGAGTCCTTTGCAGACGGTACAGCGCCTTCAATCAGGCGATGGGACTCTCCAGCTTGTCCCGTGAAAGCTCGTCGGCTTGTCGACGAAACTTAGTAGTAGTTTTGAGTCTTGCATTTAGAAAGTAATACGATATCCTAATGTTTTTAAATAGAAGTGCTCTGGTAGCTTCACCAAAATGTTACTATCGGCGTACAAGACTTAGGAAAATATAGAAATGTCTTGTCCACGATAAGAGAAAAAATGAGATTCCATATGCTTTTACTGAAATTATAAGAAATTCGAGGTTTGTAAAAAATGAAAAAAGAGGAAGTGAAGTGGTAATTATAGAAAATTAGACTACAAGTGGCCGGCATCCATAGTAGCTCAGCAATGAGAGGAAATGTCGAGAGGAAGACAGCCATAGATGCATTTTTTCTGCAGCACTCCAATGTCGGATCTCAGCTTCTTCAGAGTCCAGAATAGATGTAGACCTACTAGTTATTCATTAATCTTCTTGAGTTAATACCACAAGGATGCCGCTGGACTGACCTTGTTTGTGTACTTCTTGTGTGTCCGAAGATAAAGGGCCGTCTACTCCTGACATCAAAGGGAGATGGATATGGTATTTGAGTGTGCGGTATGAGTCGTGCAGCATTTAAGGTATCCCAGATAGTTGTATTAGACAAAAGTCTGGCTTTTATTGCCGTTGTGGCTCCTTCTAAGTAAGACTGAGGTTGTATAATGGCTGGTCCGATGAGAAAGGTGAAGGATGGCAGTCGCTGATAATAGAAGTATAGCGGCATAACAAAATGTTGGGTCCGCAATAAATAGTAGCAGTTAGGCGTCCCGTTAGTTATAATAGAAGAAGAATTTTTTTTTGTCTGCTTTCTTCCCTTTCTCTTGTTCACCTCTCATTTCTGTTAAAATGGTTTTCGAGGCTACCAACACCAATTTGGTGTTATTTCAGTAATCTCTTACAACTTGATTTTTTTTCTCGAGAGACTTTAGCCAATAAACTGCGGTGTTAGGCGCTTCTTGATGATCTAATATGCAATGCAACCAATTGTCGTCCTCACAGTTCTCTTCAGCAATTATTGCCGTATTGTACACATCGACCTTGACACAATTGTCGAATTACTCATTCTATAATAATGGAAATAAAATACGACAGGCTTGCTAGGTGGCAAGGTGAAAATCAAAGTGACATAATAAAGTAGAAGAAACCTTTTGGTAGAGCTAATCTAGGTACTGACTGAAACAAGTACAACGATGAATAAAAAGGGTAATAGAGAAGCTTAAATAATTTTTTTTAAACGAGTTAAAGCAAGAACTAAAGTGCCAAAAAAGACGTAAAATACTGTCTTGAAGATAGCCAGAGAGTGGACATAAAGGTTTTCGGAAAGTAATTGACAAAATTATTTATGAGAAATATTTTTTAGTGGTCTAACTAATAAGAAAATCCGAATTGGTCCAGTGGTCAGGATTACCCGCTCTCACCGGGTCGGCCGGGGTTCGATTCCCCGATTCGGAGATTTTTTTGCATTTTTCGCAACAACTAGCAAAGCAACGACGAAGAAAAGTTATATCAGTCAAGAGTCCTAAGGAAGCAGCACATTTTGATACTACTCACATACCTGTGCGATAGCAAGTCAACATTCTCTTCGACATTCCGACATTTCACATTGGGAAATCAGACGAAATTTTTTTCCCATCAGCCTAGCCGACAGATAACCTGCGAATAACAAACCAAGCGACATTACTCAACATAACCATTAGTATACCG